TTAAGCTGCTTTGACAATCTACATTGTAAAAGCACTACAGAAATAAAGATGAGTTGAACTTAGTCACTTTTTATCTATTATGACACTCAAAAATCTAATTTCAAGTTTGGTGCACTTCCTTTACTCTCAACGGTATTAGCAACTGGAAACCAATTTGACAAATTAGTCACTTTTTTCCCTCATTGTTTGCCTAAGCTAAGCATAATCCTCGATTCTGACATTCCTCCCTCTCACGATATTGAGTTTAGGTGGCAAATCCTGCTGTCTTTTGAATTCCTGTACGTTTGTTTGAAAGCATTAAGGCTCTCAAATCCCCGTCCTCAGCGAACATCATTTTAGAAATGTGTTTCTGCAAATCCAACATCTCAGAGTTTTAGTAGTTGGGGAAAATCTGTCGCTGTCAATAGGAAATTGCGTGTAACTAGAGATAGAGCTCTGAGCCAAGACTTTAGCAGTGACAAAGAGTCTCTTCACATTTAATTCACCTTTTTGACTTTCCCCCTGTCAGATATAGATGTCCAAATTCACCCAAGAAAAGTTTCTCAGAAATCTGAGAGTGTCAGGGATGGTGGAGCACGAGCAAGACCATACCCTTCACCATCCCGCCGCAGACACCGAACTACCTTCAGCAATGAACAGCTGGAGCACCTGGAGTTGGCTTTCAGACAGAACCACTATCCTGATATCTACTACAGAGAGGAGCTTGCTAGGGTCACCAAACTTAATGAGGCTCGCATACAGGTAACCGAGCATTTAACTTGAATTTTACATGATTGTTAACCTGATGTTACTACTAGTAACTATTTGGTTATATGTTTCTGGGGTGGTTTACATTGATTGTAAAGCATTCAGTGACTGTTTGGATCCCTACCCTGCTGAAAAATCCAGCTTAAACCAGCCTAGGATTGTTAGCTGGTTTTAGCTGCTCGACCAGCCTGGTTTTAGAGGTGTTTTTGATTTCCAGGCTGGTTTCCAGGCATTTCCAGCCTAGTCTTAGCGGGTCAGGCTGGGAGATGACCAGCTAAAACCAGCTTTACCAGCCTAGCCAGGCTGGGAGCCCAGCCAAAACTAGTTATGTCCAGCTTAAAGTTGGTCAAGTTTGGTTTAAGCTGGTCATTTTCCAGTCTGACCAGCTAAAACCAGGCTGGAAATGGCTGGAAACCAGCCTGGAAATGGCTAAAACCCCTTTAAAACCAGGCTGGTCGACCAGCTAAAACCAGTCAAAACATCCTAGGCTGGTTTTAGCTGGATTTTTCAGCAGGGTACTAATGCTCCATTAATGCTAAAGGCATTTTTTTCAAAAATTCTAGCTTTGGATTCATAAACATCTTTTTACATAGGTTATGTACACTCACCTGCCACTTTATTAGGTACACCTTACAAGTACCGGGTTGGACCCTCTTTTGCTTTCAGAACTGCCTTAATCCTTCGTGGCTTAGACTTAACAAGGTACTGGAAATATTCCTCAGAGATTTTGGTCCATATTGATATGATAGCATCACACAGTTGCTGCAGATTTGTCAGCTGCACATCCATGATGCGAATCTCCTGTTCCACCACATCCCAAAGGTGCTCTATTGGATTGATACTGGTGACCGTGGAGGCCATTTGAATAAGGTGAACTCATTGTCATTTAAAAAAAAAAAACAGTCTAAGATGATTTTTGCTTTATGGCATGAAGCGTTATCCTGCTTGAAGTAGCCATCTATGAATGGGTACACTGTCATAAAGGGATGGACAGAGGATTTCTCACTGGACATTAGTCTTTCTGGCTATTCTGGTATTGATCCACACTTCCTCCGGTCTCTTCCAATGTGTTTCTTTGACAAAATTTTGTCACCAATGGTTTTTCAGAGATTTTTTTAATCAGGTGTACTTCAGGCCTCTCGGCTGACCATTTCAGTATTTTAGTGCTTTCAGTTTTGAGGATGTTTCACCCATTTTGCTGTGACTTTTAACTATATGTATTTATATTTACATATTATCCTAACAAATCATACATCAATGTAAAGCATGTTTATCTTATCTTATCCTGTTTATACAGTTGAAGTCAGAGTTATTAGCCCACTATGATTTTTTTTCTTTTTTAAATATTTTCCAAATGATGTTTAACAGAGGAAGGAAATTTTCACAGTATGTCTGATAATATTTTTTCTTCTGAAGAAAGTCTTATTTATTTTATTTCAGCTAGAATAAAACTTTTACAATTTTTAAAACCATTTTAAGGTCAAAATTATTAGCTTCTTTAAGCTGTTTTTTTTTCTTTTCGATAGTCTATAGAACAAACCATTACTATACAATAACTTGCCTAATTACCCTAACCTGCCTAGTTAACCTAGTTAATCTAGTTAAGCCTTTAAATGTCACTTTAAGCTGTATAGAAGGGTCTTGAAAAATATCTAGTCAAATATTATTTACTGTCATCATGGCAAAGATAAAATAAATCAGTTATTAGAAATGAGTTATTAAAACTATTATGTTATGAAATGTGCTGAAAATTTTTTCTCCATTAAACAGAAATTGGAAAAAAAAATAAACAGGGAGGGTAATAATTCAGGGGGGGCTAATAATTCTGACTTCAACTGTAATACAGTCAAGCACAAAATTATTCATACCCCTGGAAAATTCTGACTTAAAGTTACCTTTTATTATTATTTATTACCCACTAAACTCCTTTGTCTGACTGTTTCTGTTTTCACCTGTTGGATTAAAAGTGTTCCTAATGAATTAGTTTGCTTTAGAACAGCTTGGACTGTTTGTGATGGTATAGAACTTTGGATTTCACCGTTATTCAAATGGTATTTATCATTTTAAACATGACAATTTTTGTTTAAAGGTAAATAAAAGCGGAGAATGTTGTTGTTTTTCCAAAATGATGTCTCTTAAATGTCTTGTTATCTTTTGGCAGAAGCCTGTGTCATTTCAATGTCAAAAACAAAACAAAATGTGTTTGTTGAATATAGATAACTTCAAGTCAGTATTTGCCAGGGATAGGAATAATTTTGGGCTTGACTGTGTATAACTTTACATGTTACTGGGCAAATCTTGACTGATTTTGATTACCTGAGCTGACTTTTAGCTAAATCTACAGGTGTGGTTCCAGAACCGTCGTGCCAAGCAGCGGAAGCAGGACCGTATAACCCAAAAATCGCTGGCAGTAAGCATGATGCCAGTGCGAGGGCCTCTCTTTAGCACCATGTGCGTGTCTTCCTCTGCCATGGGGCGGCAGTGCCAGTGTCCTCATTCCCTGCCTCACGTCCCGCAGTTCTCTCCAGTGCTGCCCCCTGGAGGCTACCCACCCCATCCGTCTTCTGGCAGTCAATTCTCCAGCCCTTCTGGTTCTCTCCCATCACAAGCCAACAGACAGCCTAATGACTGGTACAATCAATTGCGCAACATTGGGCCATCCCCCACCTCAGTGCTCTCACTGGCCTCTGTGCCAGGACTGGAAAGTACTAGTCACTGGAACTAGTAACGATTGACATTTTTATCTTCCCTTTTGTACAAGAATCTACATAAAGTATACAGAATAGAAAGTTTTCAAAGACAAAGCAATATTAATTTTTACTTCTTTATTACATTTGGAGTCACATAGAACATACTTTTATTGCATCTTAGACAAAAATAATTACATTTATATTGATTACTTTGACTACTATACTAGGTTCTTTTAACACTGAACATGTTTAGGATTATAAATAAGGACCATTATGAATGTCATTTCCTCCATTGAAATGCACAACAGACCCTATGTACATCTGAAATACATTACTCCAAGTAATCAATAACAGCTTTGGTAAAAACAAATTAGACATTTTATGTAAATATTGTGTTGTTTTTGCCATGTTATCCATGTAAAATGAACATGCACAGGTCAATGAAAGTCTTTTAAGTTTCTTGAAAACGTGTGAAAAAACAGTTTTTATTTATTATACTACATAATGGGCACTTAAAAACAGTTCTGACTGAAAACTTTCATACCGTTTTCCTGCAAAGCTGCTATTTTTACTTTCATTTTGATCACACAGGAAAAGGTTTGGCTTTATTAGTTTTATGTATAAAGGTTTTCCAAAAGTAGTAGATAAAAAAAAAGACAAAGGCGTCATTCATTCTGATATTGTTTATAGTTGCTTCACCCCAAAAACATTCTAAATGTTTTCTAATCTTGAGAATCGAGTATTTAAGTGAGTATTAGGATGAATCACATTTTAAATTACTTTTATTAATTTAATAGAAAAGCATTACATTGACCCATATGACATTTTGTGTATGTAATAAGTTGAAAATCAGTTAAAACTTTTTGTTTGGATGATGAAGTTCTGATTGTTGTCTTTTCAAGACTTCACACTTAGCTGATGATTGATTATAAAGCTTGTTTGACATGCGGTCCCGGGTAAGAGCTATGAGCTCATAAGATTCTCAAGCCCGGGGATTCCCTCCCAAGGCAAGAGTTTGAGCTCCGGTAGATCTCGAGAGCTCCTCTGCTATAGTAGCTAATGAACATAGTGATTGCTCTTAAGAAATACCGACTTACTAGGAGCATGTCTATGGTGCTGATTTGGATTAGTCAATTAACATACGTTGCATGTTTTTGGACTGTGGGAGGAAACCGGGGAAAGCCCACATGAGCAAGGGGAGAATGTGTAAACTCCGCACAGAAACATCAGCTGGCTTGGTTAGGAATAGAACCAGTGATGTTCTTGCTGTGAAGCAACAGAGCAAACCACTGGGCCACCCTGCCACCCATCTGGAAAAGGAAGATGAGTAAGGAGTGGAAGGGAGGATTCTTCAAAACGAAAACGGCTGTTATATGGAACTTAAGGTATTTATGGTGGCTCAGGAATCGTCTGATTGGTGAATCATAATTTGAATAACGCGGGAATAAATGCAACCAATCAGAAGCACATGATCTTATATATAATTTATAAATAAACTTCACAAAATCTCTGGTGCCTGTTATTAAAAGCAACCGTAAAGAAAAGCTACATAGGGAAATTATATTTTATACTGTAGGTGCAAATAGGCACATTGCACACATGAGCTTTAATCTTTATAGGTAGATGTTCTCTCAAACACTGTTTGAGATGTTTTACTTCCAAATTGGCATTTTAAAATGACAGTCACAACGATGATCTCATTAAGGCAGAGAGAGCAAGTTCATTCATTCATGAGCAGCAAATTTGTCGCACTTCAGCTTCATTTAAACAACAGCTTTGCAGAAGAGCATTTCCGCAAAGTATTTATTCAATAATATCCATTTTTACAGATGACAAATTTAGGCAGTTTATACATCAAGAGTCCATTCTGACAGGAAATACGCAAATGTGAGTGCAAAAGTTACGATGGCATGACTACACAACACCTTTGATCAGTGAGATGACCCTTACCATTTAATTTTATGACATTTAATACTGGATATACTAAAGCATGACTATACTGTGCCTGTGAAACCGCACACACGGAGGAATGTCCTGGAGACTTGTACATCAGAGGTAATCTGCATTCACAGTAAGGCTGTTGGTGTATTTGTTGTTGTTTTTTTACTACTCCAGAGACGTTGCAAACTCTGCATAGTCAATGTAGCCATCATTGTTTTTGTCATCGTCTCTGAGGACATCATCAATAAGGTTGATGAGATCTTCTTCCCTCATTGGTTGGCTATCTCCTCCTCTTTCCTGGAAACCAAGGTTAGGTGACAACATTAGTTATGACTAGAAGGGGAAAAACATAACAGATAATAAGAATGCATTTTGTATCTTTTTTTTATATCTATAAAAGATACACTATATGTTACTGTCAAAGCTCAGTTTGTGCTTGTGGGTTTGTGCATACTTTTTTTTCACTGTATCAACTTTTTTTGAGTTTTGAGATTGAACTACACACCTGGGGTCTGTTCTTTGTACCTAGCTTAAATGATCTTTTCATAACTGATAACTGGTCTCTGCCAATTTTTGTTCGCTAATCAGATTAAAATATCTGATGAACTGGGCCCTGTTTCAGAAAGGAGGTTAAGTTAAAACCTTCAGAGTGTGTAACCCTGAAATAAGAGAAACTCTGGGTTTTCTGTTTCAAAAATGGCAGGCTTGTCCAACGCGAGAAAGCAGGGTAAGTCAAGCCTGTTTCTCAAAGAGAGGTCTCCTTTTTTAAAAGACGAAGTGGTATTTCTTACCTTAGCCTTTGTCATTCATTGCATACATTTCAGTCACAAAAAATAAAATAAAATAAAAAAATAAATAAAAAAATTACGAGAATGGCTTGTCCTTTTTTGGGAAAATTACAATTAGAATCAACACCATAGTTAAGTTTTACTGGCATAGTTATATTACTGCAAAAAATAAATAATTAGCTTAAATTCACTGACCTTCGATGGGGCCTGTAACTTGATTAATGAGATTATTATTTGCTCTAAAAACTATTTTTTTAATACTTTTTACATTCTTAATGTCACATCAACCTCTATCACTCGATCAATAAAATAGGCAGACAGACAAGTGCATATTTAAAGCTTTTAAACTCAATTTTAAAATGTTTATCTTAAACTGATCAGCGTGTAAAAGTGGAAACCTTAAATTAAACATTTCCACTGAACATTGAGTTAAGATTATATGCATTCGTGTTTTGTTATATTTGTTGTAGAAACTATGCAGTAGTCCATTTTATGTAATTTAATGCAATTAAATTTGAAATAACTCGGCCAATTCCCCACTTTTTCCAAGTGAAAAAGTCTATAAATGTCATGTTACATTACTTTTTTTTATTATACTTAAATATTTAAATACTTAAAATATTTTAAATGTAAACTTACGCATTAACTTGAGCAGCTATGTTTTCCCACGCTAACTCTGTTTCGTCGATGCAATGGGGTTACTTTTTCTTCTTTAAATACATGGTCATACCTGCTATAACTTAGCATGAACACATAAAATTCAGCTGGAAAAGAAAAATCTCTTTTTTTTCAGATGGCGACTCGTAATATCTGCACTCCATTGATAATGCCTTTTTATAGTGGCGGTTTGCGCGCTTAACTCTAAATTAGTCTATTCAGACTTGATTAATCTAACTCAGATCAGCTATTCTGAAACAGAAAACTGTGAGGTTTTTAATCTTTTGGCAAGTCAACTCAGAGTTCAAGCTTTAAATTTGAGTTGGTTGAACCTTCTTACTGAAACAGGCCTCTGATCTGAGATTACTGCTTATGTTGTGAAAGACAGATCTATTGATCTGCGCAATCATGATCAGCAATACAACGACTGGCTGCGTAATGACATCATCTGAATAATATTTAATTGTCCATGTAAGCAAAATTATATAAAATTCATAGTAAACTGTTTAATATGACATGCAATAACTTTTCACATTTGTTGTGGGCTGCAGGCTTTACACTTTTAGGGCTCTATTTTGACGGTCCAAAATGTAGGCCGCAAACGCTTTCAGGGCGTGTCAGAACGCATTTTTGCTAATTTACGGACGGGAAAACCTGCTTTGCGCCATGGCGCATGGTCTAAAAAGGTTGAGTTTATTTTCTTAATGAGTTATAGGTGTGTTTTGAGAATAAACCAATTAGAGTCTCATCTCCCATTCCCTTTAAGAGCCAGCTGCATCGCGCCATAAGCGCATTTTGACGTTAAGTAAGTTCACTTTCGCTTTTGCTCTCGTGGATAGGGAAACCTTTACGCACAGACATCAATTAGCCTATAAATAACTAATTCCATTTGTTAAGCGCAAAGATTTGTTTAAAAAACCATTTCTAAATTCAGTTCTAATTTCCAGCAAACGAATAAATGAACAATAATAACCAAGTGAGGTCAAAATACTGAGTTATTTCCAATTACACCTGCCATGCCCCATATGGTCTAAAATTTGACAGGTGGACAAATCTAAGCTTGTTTTTAGTAAAACAAATATAAATATGGATATAATAAATAATACTGTTAATAATAATAACATTATACAAAAGCAAGTTGAATGAACTGAAAAAGCCTCCCAAGATGAAGAAAGCAAGGCAGTGGTTTTTAAATCTTCATGTAGGCTAGAAATTAAAATGTTTTGTAATATTTCATTTATATTTATATCCTGTATATATCCTTATTTATTATATATATATATATATATATATATATATATATATATATATAAAATATCTCCTTAAGATATTATATATTTTTCATATGTAAAGATATTTGCGCGTTGCTCTGCATCTTGTTTGTAGTGTGTAAGCCAGGAGCACTTTGCACCAGACAATAGACCGACTTTGTTCTGGTCTTAAGATCAGACTTTTTACAGTTTCTCAAAATAGCAACGCGCCAAAACACGCCTGCTTTTTTAGACCAGAACGCCTATGGGCACACATTTGAGCGCAAATGCATTTGCTATTTAAACAGCATGGCGCAACTCCTTAAAATGACCCTTGCGCCGAGCTAAAAGTAGCAAAAGAGTATTGCGCCGTGTCTTGCGCTACATTGCGCCGGGTGTATGATAGAGCCCATAATGTGTCAAGAGTATTTAGCAATTGATTTAGTTTTACATTTAGAGCAGATTTTCTTTATTATAGTAGCCTAGGCCTATTCAAGTTTCTAAATCGGCATAAGAAATAATGAACTGTTCAAATTAATTTTGCATCAAAAAACATTTTGATATTGGTAATGGTGATGTGCGAAGCATGAAATCATCGTCATAGCTGTCAAAAAAAAGTCTATGACTGCATAAATTATTATTTCTTTAAAAAAAAAAAAAAAAAAGTTGAATAATGTGCATGTCTATTATCATACTTATACTATTTAAGGTACCAGCTTTAGTACGTGTTTGTATCTAGAAAGCACATGTTAATAAACCTTCTCTTTGAACCCCATGGGGAGATCCACCCCGTGTCAGCTTTGTTTTTTTATTTCAGAGTGCAGACTGCATAAGTATATATACATTGTATTTTAAAACTTATATGTATATAAACAAATATTATCAATTATTTATTATTAAATATTAATAATTATTATAAACATAAAATATATTTATAAAAATTTTCATTAACTATTTTACTAAGTGTATATAACCTATAGCTTACTACTGTAAGAAAATATCAGCATTTGGTACATACTTTTAGCATGACCTTTTCTTGAAAAGGCCCGATCTAATTCTGTTTATATGAAATAAACCTGCTCCCAAGCAGGTTTGAGCTACTACACCTGTTGGTATGACAACAACTCTCAGATGACTTTTGAAGAATGTAACTATCCTGGACCGTGAGAAATCGTCAGTAACCAAATCCAGCTAATTGGGTAATCAACGTGCGAAGAACTGATCCCTGCAGCCTGTTTATTAGGAACACTTTAGGCTGAATATAAAGGTAAATTACTCTTACTTGAGCAGTGCCGCATCATGCATCCTGGTGTAACCTGCTGTCCAGTCAACGTGATAATGAGCTGTGTGCAAGGAGTTTCATGCACCTCTTGTTAATGTTTAGCCACCCACTGATAAGCTGTATTTATTTTGTGATCGATTTATGTTTCCTTGGTCGATATGTTTTTGTTTATTTGATCAATTTAATTTATTTTAATTCAGTTTTGTTCATTCAATTCTTTATTACATTTTTTACTGCAGTTTGAGGTAACATTCCCCATCTCTTCTCTAATAAATATAGGGTTCTTACAACTTTTCCAAAGTCAAATTTAAGCACTTTCCAGGTGCATCTTTGAAATTTTCCAGCGCTTTACAAGTGTGGCAAATTACATACATACTTCATCACATTTTATCAGATAATCAGAATTTTATTCTATATGTACAGTATTCTAAGAAACTATTAGATGGCATTTTTGTGCTAAGGCCAACATTAAATTACTATCATTTGCATATTAAATATACATTTAAATATACAATGTTTTATCTTAATTCTTTTAAATAGTTCACTAGTTTAAAATTCAAGCATTTTTAAGGATTTCCCTACCTTAACCAAATCACTTTGAAAGTGGGGTTTGAAAAAAAAAAACACAGTATATGAAACAAATATGGATTGCTGTCAGTAGAATGTTAATATGAATAAATGCAATACTCATTAAAGAATAATTTGTCCAAACTTTAAACTTGTAAAGTACATAGAATAATGTCAAGTTCAATATCAAAGCACACACACCTCCCTATGAACATGTGTAATGGCAGTGGCAAGCTCAAGTCCATCCAGCAGATTGTTGCCATCATAATCGTGCATCTTAAAATAGTGCAGCTGCAGCTCTTGAGGTGTCATTTCTGACTCTTGCTTTTCAACAATCCCTTCTAAATGCTCCATGATATGCCTACAGCGGAACACAAGAAAGGTTCAAATGCAGTGAGAATCATATTGGTACTTAGCAGAGATTTTAAAATGATCAGCCTTAGTTGATAATGGTGACCTTTGGGACAGTCATTCTGTTGCAATAAAAGACTTTTTTCTTTGTATTAGAATGCAACTGTGATGATTATTTTATTAGGATAAACAATAGAGATTTTTAAAAATGAAACAGGCATGGATAAATAGTACACAATAACATCTACATGCATTAGGCATGGGAAGATAACCGGTGTCAAGGTTGACAGCGGTTTGGAAAAGTCAAAGTATTAAAACTGTAATATTAAAATTGTTATACCGTTTCTAAGGTACATGTAAGTTTGTTTGGTTTTTTTTACGCGTTTTTATTACTATTTATTTAGTATCTCCAGCAGAAAAGGACCCTCGAGAGGAAAAGCTGTTGGTCTGCCCACTATTCAGGAAACATTGCTTATTGCTTATAAACCAACATACAAACATGCTATGGACCTGAACAGTGCAGTGGCTTTTATTATATCCAAAGAAAAGTAAGAGTTTCAAGTTGTTTTTAAACTAATGAAGAAAACAGAAGTTAAAAGTTTATTTTTAATTATTTTGCTTGACATGTTTACTGCTCCCAAATATTTGAAATGTTTTTTTTTTAATAAAAAATATTGCATTCATTGGGAATAATTTTTTTTTGTTTTTTACCCAGATATTTAAAAAAGAACATTTTATAGTAGCAATCACAATACCATTATATCCAAGGTTTTCATACTATCAGAATCTTATACTGCCCATGCCTAACATGCATTTAGAAATCTGAGCATTCAAGTTCACAAAATTATTAATTCTGCCAAGAATTTGTAAACACATCTACTGATAGCCTTTATACTGCATAAATAAAAAAACAGCATGTACTTAAAACTTAGATATTGAATATAAAATGCCTTTTAGAACATTTACTTTCTTTTTTTCCCAGAAAACAGAACCAGTGTTTTTATTTGTTGCAATTGAAAATCAGGGTTATTTAACCACATTTTGACTCCTTAACTTTACTAAAGTTACAAAATTGTTATTGTGACATCTAGGAAAAAAAAAAAAAAAAAAAAAAAGTACAAACATTTCTTAAAACATTTTTACAAAGATTTGTGCGTAACCATTTTCAGTACTGATAATACTAATATTTCTTGAGCAGCAGAACAGCATATTCAAAGGATTTCCGAAGGACAATGAAGACTAGAGTAATGATGTTGAAAACTGTATTCAAGAAAACATTCCTTTTGAACTGTAACACTATTTCAATTTGGCAGTTTTAGAGTATTTTGATCAAATAAAATGCAACCTTGGTGAGCAGAATAAGCTTTTTAAAAAATATTTTAACTTGTAGTTCAGATGCCTATTGATCGATATAGATAGATAAATAAATATTAAGAGATAAAGAGAGAGATTTATTACAACCTTTGATTTTCCAACATATTTGCTGAAATACAGAGATCAGGTCAAGCTGCTCTGCCACAGGGGTCATTTGGAATTTGGAAAAGAGTGCATCAAATCAGGTACAGGACAGGTTTCATCATGAATTTGATGCAATCTATATATCTGCAGAACAGGCTTTTAAAATATTTAAAAAAGAAGTCAGCTCACCAAGGGTTCATATATTTGATCAAAATACTCTAAAGCTTACGTTTTATTACAATTAAAAATGTTTTATTGTTGGATGTAGCCTAGTTATCAGCATAATTTGGATTCTTCACTGTCCTTCGGAAATACATTGAATATTATGTTCTGCTGCTCATAAAACACTATTATCAGTATTGAAAAGTGCTACATGCATAGACTTTAAGACCTAACGTTATTTGAAACCTACAATTTTTAATGTAAGAAAGAAAGAAAACGTACTCTCTATCCTGAACCATGTTCCTGTCCAAGCGGGTGATTGGTGGGGGCACCTGATTTGAGCCAACTGCTTCTCCATGTTGTCCTCCATGGGCCCATACAGACAGCATACAGCCGGAGCAGACCAGGAACCAGCTCCATAATCTGAGCTGCCCAGATATTTCTCTCAATCTCATTACACTGAAATCACAAGACAATGATGGGAGAGCACGAAATTAGGATGACAGTTTCATTCATTACTGCTGCTGAAAGCAGACCTCAACGACAATTACCACTGACAGCAAACACACATTTATCTAAGAGTTAAGATTTAGCTAAATATGTGCAATTACGAAAAACGTACATCTATTCTTATAAATGTGGTGTTAAGGGTAAATGGTTGCTGACATATGGATGAACTTGAACATTGCTTTAACAGTCACTGTTACACGTTCGCGTTGCTCAAGTCCAAGGATATCAATACAAATACAGCGACATGATAACATAAACATAATTTACTCACAGTTATAAATCACAGTTGACGTGCAAATATTCGTCCTGTTTGTTCAGCCACAGTGGAGTAACAACGAACTCCTGCTGTTGTTTACTCAGCGCCGCGCTTTCTGACTGCTTCGCTTGCCGTAGTTGCCTTTCACCTTATGGACACGACAGCTAAACTCTGATTGGACACATTTTTACAACGTTTCATTTTTAGTTTGTTTTATTTCTACGCTGATACTGTAAAAAATACAACGTTATATCTTATATGACATTTGAAGTAAAACTCTTGACGTGGATTTCACTTATTACGTTTATATTTTTGTATAAAATAATTAGCCAAATCAAATCTCATATAGTCGTAATTTATCATTTTTAATAATTAAAAAAAGAGAACATTTTATAGAGTACAATCGAATAGTATCGCATTTTTTGTTGGCATTGGATGTGTCAAACTAATTAGGAATAACAGCTTTTTAATTGGCTTAACGTCATATGACCAGCATAATTAAACGTCCTATTAAACCATTAGTTATATTTACATTTTAAAGAGATTTCAGGAATAATAAACTATAAATAATGCGATTTTTTTCAGGACACGACAGCTGCATGCTGATTGGATTTGACTAAGCGTCATAATAAGTCAGCGCACTGGTGTAATCCACACACAGACAGCAGAGGAATGAGTGAGCGCTTCAGTTACTCATGATGGTTTTGTGGCTAGTTAATAGATCACCACGATCACCTGCATGGCAAACCACTGCAAAGAGAATGAAAGGGCCAAATCAATTTTCCGACGGCTGGAGGTTCAGTTTGATGTTGATATCGTAGAAACGTTATAGTCAGTAGACGTGCCGTGATGTTTTCTAGCAACTATAGTCCTTTGATTGTATATTTTACTGGCTAAATTGTGAAACAGTAGAATATAGGCTAATAATTGATTTATTATTATACATTATTGAGTTTATGAATATTATTTTGATAGTTTAAAACGATTTTTATTAACTACGTCCTGACGGTGCCACGCAAAAAAAACTATATAATTTAATAATTTTACAAAACATTTTACGTTTTTAAAACGTTAAAAAGTAGAGAGTCCGCAGTCCGCCCTTTGTTGTCAATTAGAAAATGATGTGTGTATGCTACAGGCTTCAGTGTACATGTCTTGCTGAGTTTTGTCAAGCAGGATTATTTTAAGTCGCCCACTAGATGGGGCCATTATGTCAGTAGGGGTCTGGACAGGCGTCTCATTTTATTAGGATTTGCATTCTGTGGACGTTTTTGCATTAAATAGCCAGCATTTTCATGTAAACAGACTCATAACTCAAGTCTCATGCCGGACTCTATGTTGGAAGCAGCTTTTTTTCTTGATCTTGTAATTCTATTACAACCAGCCCTGCAAATAGTTAACAAGATTTAATTGCTTAAATAGATTTAGTCATCTTGCAGTGGGGGGATTTCAGAGAAATAGGACAGAGTTGTCATGGACAAGGCTTTGCTTTGTAAAGAAGACTTGTTAAAGTACGTTTAAGGTCTTGGCAGACTGTTAACGCATTCCTTTTGACCTGTGTTGCAGCTCAGTGTTTGCTGTGTGTGTACTGAGCGCACACATACTGTAGGATGTTCCACTATTAAACAAATGTTTGTTTTTCAACTGTAAAAAAAAAAACTTTTTTTTATTTTTTTATTTTTATAATAGTTTTGAGGGTTTAATCTGATATTGATGGTAAAGATGTTCATGCTTAAATCACACATAGTGATCAGGGGAACACAATTTACAGGGCCATGAGGCAATTAACTGTGCAAAGGGCCCAAAAACTTGTGGCACTGTGGCTAAAACACTTCAAAATATCTCACAGGTAATTTTCTGCTGAAAAAAAGTCTTGGAATGACACAGGGATGTCTTGTGATGGCACGAGGATGTGTCGGTAATGTTGATTTTTGGGGTTGAACTAGTTCAGATAGATTTTGGAGTGGCTGGTAGCACCATATAATGACTAGGTCTGACCAATGACAGGTTTTCCACTATAGGACTAAGTCTACCCCAAACAAGGAACCAAATGTAAGTACAGGGTTTCCACACAATTTGGAAAGAAAAAGTAACATTAAATTGAATTGACTGGAAAATGTATCATACGTTCTCAGAAAAAATGATACAATGTTGTACCAAAGAAGGTACAAACTCTTGTCACTGGGGCAGTACCTTTTTATGGGACAGAATTGTACACAGTGACAAGACACTTTGTACCTTAACAGTGTTAAAAATGCTTACCAAACATTTAAAATGCCTTTAATGTTTAGTTTACACTACCTATAGTTTTATGTTTTACCAGTTGTTTTGTATTATATAACTTAATAATTCATTTTTATAAGTTTCTTTAAGCATATCCGTTTAAATACTGATTCTTGTTTCAATATGCAAATTATTCATAAATCACTTTGCCTCAGTCATATTTATGTTCATAGATATTGTAATAAATAAGGAGTGGTACAACATTTATGTAGCTTTTTTATGAGAATAATTGTGCACCTTTATTTCAATTGTACCATAAAAGGTACAGTTTTTACAAAGGCACAAAAGGACATTGTTTGTACCACCGTGTGTACCTTTTTTTTCTGAGAGTGTATGATAATAATAGTTTTTCTTCTCTCTAAAGGCTGTTGTAAAATCCACAGACTAACCCCTGTGTAGTATTGCAACTAGTATGTAAAAAGTATCATCATTTCCTTTACATTGGTTGTGTGTATGTCACTGTTCATTTTTTAATGTAAATTATTAAGGTAAGAAACACAGTGTGATTAAAGGGATTCTCCACCCAACAATTCTCTCAGAATATACTAAGCCTCATGCTGTGGAATATACAGCTTTTCTTAGTCCAGTTAATGCAAGTGTCATTTCTCAAAGTTGGTTTATAGTTTAAAAGCCTTTACATGTTAATATTTTTTTCTCTCACACATATCATTTAAAGACACTGATTAAGAAATTAGGTTTGTGTGGATGCTTGTCTCTGCTTTGTGAGGTTTTTGAAGCATGGGGGTACATTAAACTTGAGCTCACTAAAGCTCTTCCTCTAAGTAAAGAAATTCATATAGCCTAGCCTACATCTGGGCAGGGATAGGGTGAGTTAATGAAAGAGTTTTAATTTTTTAGAGAAGTTTACACATATTTAATATTCATGACTCCATGCAACAGTCCTTTGTTGAGAATTTCCAATTATACAGTAGCTTAGTTAAAATGATATTAAAAAAAATCTATCATAAATTCTGATGTCCGAATGATTAGCATTCGCCTTTAAATAAAGGCATAACTACTAATGGCATAGTAAGAAAGACCTGATAACAATCATTTCTTCATTCATTCATTTTCTTGTCAGTTTAGTCCCTTTATTAATCTGGGGTCACCACAGCAGAATGAACCGCCAACTTATCCAGCAAGTTATTACACAGCGGATGCCTTTCCAGCCGCAACCCATGGGAAACATCCACACACACATTCACTAAGGACAATTTAGCCTACCCAATTTCCCTGTGCCGCATGTCTTTGGACTGTGGGGGAAACCGGAGCACCCGTAGGAAGCCCACGCGAAGGCAGGGAGAACATGCAAACTCCACACAGAAACACCAACTGAGCCGAGGTTCAAACCAGTGACTCAGCGACCTTCTTACTGTGAGGCAACAGCACTACCTACTGCGCCACTGCCTCACCATAAGAATAATTGTTATAATTAAAATAATTTTAAATATTCCTTAATATTAAATATTCATTCCGTAATATTATAAGGAATGATATTTAGTTCAGAAAGTATGCATAAATGTAACTGAATGCAACTTAGCAGAAATGAACATTTAATATAAAAAAAAATAGCAGTTATCACTTTTAATTCAGTAAACAGTTTACAAACATGCTCTCGAGGAGCTTGTTTGGAATACAGTTCAGTGATGTTAACTTTACTTTTATCAATATGCCTACTTCAGTCACTGAAATGGGCAAAGCCTTTATCATGTTTGTTTGCACATGCTCAGTGAGTTTTCCGTTGACAGTCGGCAGTCACTCCTCTGGTCTCGGTGGAGCGCGGTCCCAGAGAAGCAGGCGGGATGTCTTCCCGACTCTCGTTCTCTCAGTACCGCTTAGAAGCGGAGGTCGACCGCTGCCGTTCGGAGTGTCAGTGGGATAAAATTCCCTCTTTGGTGGAGCAGCTTGCTGCCGCGCGCCTGCATGACGATGGTAAGTGCGCGTTCCACGATAGAGTGGAATAGATTAGAGCCAGTAGTGATGAGTGTGAGTGTGTCTTGTTCCGCATGATCTTTGCACCTTTCTGTCAAGCCTACGTTTGTAGTGTGCTCTAATATCAGTCAACAGATGTCTTTTTTGATGTAGACTGTTTTGTGTTTGACTGTATGTAGTTAGATTTGTTTTGTCAGTTCACTCTTAAATAAGAGAGAGAATGTTACTCATGTGAAGCAGAGATGTAAATACATGCACAGCACACACCCTTTAGTTACAGGTAGAAGCTACTTCACTTTAAGGAATGATTTACTCGCCATCATATTTTTTTCTACAGTATGTAGGCCCCCACATGCATTGGTTTGCAGTGATGTTTAAGTTAGTGGGATTTTACTGAGTGTTGTCCATGGTGAAATAACTGACATAAACTGTCACTGGAAGTTATGATGTTGAAACTCTTTGGACTAGATTAATTTGAAACTGAAAGTGCATTATTCCACTGATGTGTTTGTTCTTTTAGGCTGTTATAGGCTGTAAATACTTTCCTAAACACTATTGTCCTTTGACCCGGATGTTCTTTGACCAACAAACCTTGAAAATAATTTACTTTTATGTGGTAATGTTATAGCAAATTATAGCAATTTCTTCTTGGGTCACATATGGGCTAATACACACACATACATTGCAAAACTCAGCAGTTTCTTGCAAATAATTTGACTTTATATTTTTAATATGAAGCATGTGAGTTGATCATTTACACACTGTTGTATACACAGAATCAGAAAACTGTTACTGTTGACAAGTTATACAGTAGAAAATGCTGTCCTTTCACAGTGGTATGAGAATGGTAAACATGCTGCTTAAACTCTGTTCCATTTTCACTGTTAAATCAACATCAGTAAGCTAGAGGTTAACACATGGCACTCCCAGGAGGTGTGTCCACCTCTGTCCAAATCTAATCTCTGACCCAGCACATCTTGTTTCGCCACTGCCATCACTCAAACACTAATTTCACTGTCAAGAATTAAACTCAGTCAGTATAAGCACAACATTAGGACATAGTATTGTTCTTATTTTACAAATGGGATGAATATTTTTAAGTGATAAAATTTAGCTACTTCACATTCTGTTGAGGTTGAGGAAAATGTCATACATTAACTTGATACAAGTCGGAATTTTGTGTGGAGTGAGAGATTAAACTAAACAGGAAACATCTCATCCAGTGTTTATACAAAATGCTAAACGAATGTTTTTAAGCACTTTTTTCCTCTGATTCTTAAGTTGAGCTCAAGCAAACATGCATAACTCTTTAAAAAATGGTCAGAATGCTGATCAAGAATCAAGACATGTTAATCACTGAGTGGCATTCTGTTGTGATATACAGTAGTCCAATGACTGACAATAAAGGCATGAAGTCATTTATGAACAAACCACGACTATAGACTTGTTACTGGTGTGAATTTAAGGGCACTTATGATGAAATTTATCTTTTGGAAGCTGTTCAGACAGAACTGTGTGCAGGTATAGTGTGCCCACAGTCAACTTTTTAAATATTTTGGAGCAGGAAACATGTCAGGGTAAATAATTCAAATGACTTCTGCTGTCTTCATTGGTTTCAAAAACACAGATTTCTTTACAGTTTAAAATGGCTTCTTTGAATATATTCTGCTGGAGATACTGTTGTAAAAATGACCAATCTTACACATATTATAGGAAATGTATAGCAAGAAATGTTGGCGGTTTTAAAACCTTGACTTTTCCAAACCGCGGTATACGTCGAAAATGGTTATTGTCGCATGCAAGAGAGATTACCATAATCAACCAGAATAAAAAAATGTTCCAGTCTTCCTTCTTCAGCCTTTACTCTATTTTTCTCTGATTGTCTGCAGATGATTACAGGACGCTGCTGCTGGCCGAAGCGCTGCTGGAGGAATGTCTGCTGGAGAACATGACCCTACTGAAGAATTCTACTCCTCTGACCGAACATTCACAGCTTAAACTGGCCCGAGCCAAAGCTCAACTCGACAGCATCCTTTGCAGGGGACACCTAGAGGTCTGGCCCTGTGTTAATTGGAGTCTCTTTATTTTTCTTTATTTCTTGAGAAGCTCGTTTGGAGCAAAGTTCAGTGATGTAACTTAAACTCCATCATTAAACTGAATTCAAACTGAATTTAAAAGGTTTGTTCACACAAAAAATTACAATAGTGTAATTAATCAATCTTATGTTGTTTCAATCCTCTGAGGTCTTTGTTCATCTTCAGAACACAAATATATAATAATAGGATATTTTAGATGAATCATGAGAGCTTCCTCATCCTTCATATAAAGCACGGGTGCTCAACCCTGTTCCTTAAGATCTACCTTCCTGCAGATTTCAGTTGCAACCCATATCAAACACGCCTGCCTATAATTTTCAAGTGCTGTTCAGGTCCTAATTATTTGATTCATGTCCGTTTGATCAGGTTTGGAGCTGAACTTTGTAGGAAGGTAGATCTCCAGGAACAGGGCTGAGGACCCCTGATATACAGCAACGGTCCCAAGATATTTAGAGTCCTGAAAAGGAACTTAAAGCATTCCATCTGATTTTTGTCAATCAACAGTAATCAAACAAAGCTAGAAGAACACTTTTGTGCATCTAGAAGATCCTCAGCTTTCCCTTGTTTACTCCACTCTGCTCTATGGATTCGACATATACTCTCATTTCCTTAGCTCCATTCTTGAGAGAGGATCCCTTAGTTCCACCTCAGGCCTTCAACCTTTGGACTACCCCTAGACCAGGTGGGCCAAATCTTGATCCAGGAAGGCTTGTATCGCAGATTTTAGTGTCTGAATGGATGTTTCTAGAAAGCTTAGTAAGAGCTTGATTAGCTAACCCAGGTGGGTCTGATTTGGTTTGGAACTAAACTTTGCAGGACACCGACCTAGACCCTTTAGCATTTAGCTCGGGTTTCTCTTGGCTTCATTCTTCCTTGGCTTAACAAGGGTCTGTCAGTCCTCACACTCCACTAGTCTATCTCTGTCCTCTGGTCCCACTTTGGGCATTAATCCAGCCCTCTGGCTAGACCTCTTCTCTTTGTCACTTTGGGTCTGTTGGGCTCCATCTTTCCACTGGATGCATCACAGCCTGCTGGGCCTCCAACTTTCAGCTTGCCAGGTCTTCGACTTCACTCCTTGTCTCTTCTTCTTTGTTTAGGTCTTCATCTACAGTATTTTGTCTCAATCTCTGTCATTACCCCTTGTTGTAATTGAAGGCATCTCCATCATGGCTCCTCCATCCCACAACTCCTTTTTGGGCCTCAATCCTGACTGTACTCTGGGTTTTACCTACTGCTGTACCTGGCTTCTTCCACCTTCATCATCACTCTGGTTACCCATAATTTTCCCTAGCTCTATTTTTTAGAGGTTGAGCTGCTGCTAATAAATATATGGAAGAGGAGTTGTTCTTATTGCCCTCTTTCTTCTGTATCCTGTAACTTTTCTGCTTACCTAATTCAGAGTCTACCGCCAATCAATCTTTTAGTCCATTAATTCCATCTCTGTCAGTTAACACCAGATCCTCAGCTTTCCATTGTTTACTCCACTCTGCTCTGTGGATCCGACATAGACCCTCATGCCCCCAGCTTCATTCTCGAAAGGAGATCCCTTAGCTCCACCTCAGGCCATCAAGCCATGCACTCCCCTTCATCTACAGTATATTGGCTCTATCTCTGTAATTACCCCCTTGTTGTCATTGAAGGCATCTCCACCATGGCTCCTCCCTCCCACAACTCCTTCTTGGATCTCAATCCTAACTGTACTCTGGTTTTTGCCTACTCCTGTTCCTGGCTTCTTCCACCTTCATCATCACCCTGGTTACCTTTCAAATTCCGTAGCTCTTGTTTTCAGTCTACTCTGTATCTGCTTCCAGAGACCCATACGTTCCACCCTCCCTCCTGAGATGGATTTTTTATGCACAGACGAAATGCGCCTTTAGGGATCTGTTTTGCTTCCTTTTTCTTTGGTTCGGTTTATTCTTTTTGTCCGATTTCCTACTTACAGTTTAATTCTTATCCATATTTATTTGATAGTTTAAAGACTACAGAAACTACAGACTACAATTTTTATTGAGGAATGCTCATTTGTTGTGTGGTTTAGATCATAGTAAGTTTTAACATTTGTTTAGCATTAAAAAACGAAGAAAGATTTTCAAATATTATTAAACATTAATTTTACTGCAACATTAAATCAATGGCAACATTTCTTATGCAGTTTTTAATTAAACCAACAATCTTAGTAATTATAACAGCAACACTGTTATATGGCTAAACTGTGCCACCAAACAAACAAGCTCAGCCAACCTGAATATGTTCAATTGTATTTTAAATCTGTTTTAATTTTATCAGAGGCATTGCCACTCGACTTTCTCAATTAATGGGAACCATTCTTACTCTTTCCCTGTAGCCTCACTACCTGAATGAAGCTCTGCTCCTGCTGGCTAAAGTGCACTATGTGCAGGGACGCTACAGGGATGCTCAAGGGATGTGCGCCAGAGCGGGAGTCGATGATTTCACCCACCAGGACCAGCCTGTCTACCAACTACGAATGTTGGCAGAAGCTTTTGTCATCAAAGGTATGAACTAATGTATCAGTAATATCTCATTAATCCTCTCTTGTTGTAAAATTAAGTAATGGGAAGGTAATTAACATACAGTAACATGCAGTCTAAATATGTAGGATTTATGAAGAGTTGTACAATTTTATAAGCTCAGCAACTTTTTAAGTCTGCACTAATTGTGAAAAAAGGTTTATTTACAAAATAGTATTTACACAAAATCCATAAGTGACTTTCAGTCAATTATGTAGTACATGTAAAAGCAGATATTCCTTATATGGTTCTTGTACAGGCAAGACTATGCATGTATTTATAGAGTAATTAAGTCATTTCCACTGCTCCATTCCACTGAGCATTTACCTCAGGCATGCTTTTATTGGATTCATATCCAACTAAAGTGTACAGTGAAAGAAACTCTGCACTGAATTCAGCAAGTGTAATTTGGTCGCATTACAGTACTTAGAATATAACTATGGAAAAAGCCCAAAAGCAGTTATGCGTCATTGTCTGAAGGGAAGCTTCTATATATATCTTTGGTTTTTAAAAAAAGTTTTCCAACATATCATCTTGTGTTTGTGCAACGCCCACTAGTCTTTTGTGCCACACACAACTTTATAGCAGTCAAGTGTTTGGAATGAGTAACATTTTTAATAGAAGAAATTTATTTAAATATTTCATTTATTTTCGGCTTAGTCCCTTTATTAATCTAGGGGCCCCACAGAAGAATGAACTGCCAACTCAGCCAGCATATGTTTTACGCAGCGGAAGCCCTTCCAGCTGCAACCCATCACTGGGAAACACACACACACACACACACACAGTATGGACAATTTAGCTTACCCAATTCACCTATAGCGCACGTCCTTTGACTTGTGGGGGAAACCTGAGCACCCGGAGGAAACCTACGCCAACACGGGGAGAACATGCACACTGCACACAAAAATGGCACCTGACCCAGCCGAGGCTGGAATCAGCGACCTTCTTGCCGTAAGGCGACAGCGCTACTCACTGCGCCTCCATTTATTTATTTTTATTTATTTATTTGTTTGTCTGTCTGTCAAATCCATCTATTCATCTATCAAAAATACAGTATAAGAATACTGTATAAATTGTGGAATGATATTACTATAATTTAAAATAGTTTTCTAGTTGATTGTAGTTTTCTAAAGATTAATTTCGCATTATCATTTCATTCAGTGTTACATGATCCTACAGAAATAATATATTATGATTAGTTTTTTTTATGATCAATCATTATAATTATCCTACATATTTTTTGTATAATATAGAAATTTGGGAAAGTTGTTATCAGAAAGTAAAGAAAATATTAACATTTTACTCAAACCTATAACAAAGTAACAAATAATAATAGTAATAATAACTAATAATAATAATGTAAATATTGCCTGCACAAAATCTAAGTACATGATATTTCCACATTTCTTAAGTCTGCCTTATGGGCCTCACCAACTGTAGCCCCAGTAGTGGTGGAAAGAGTACTGAAGATTCATTCTTAAGTAAAAGTACCATTACTTGCCTAAAAATGTAATGCAGTAGAGTACAATTATCTGTTGTAAATATTACTCAAAGTATGAGTAAAAAGACCTTTCAAAAGTACTCAAGAGTAGTGAGTAGTGAGTATTGTGCTGATGAAAGCTAATGCATTTACATGTAATTGTGGATGTGTGTAAACGTAACATTCTGTAGTGCATTTAGTATTGCCCAGCAGACAAACAATGTCATAAGACGTTAATATTAGCTTAGATTTAGGTTGTGATGTCAGGTGACGAAAATTCAATGTCTAGCCAGTGTTTAAGGACAACATTACTTTGGTGTCCAATAGAGACGTCAAATGACGTTGAATTCAGCTTATGTTAGAAAGTTACCAAAATCCAACATCGAGCCAGCGTCATATTGACGTCAAATTCTGACATTTATTAATCAGGTATGGCATTTAAAATCCAACATCTGATAGACGTCATAGTAGCATCCACACAACGTCAAGCTGTAACATCATTAGACGTTGATATTTGGTTGATTTTAGGTTGGACGTTTTCTAATCCCCATAGACAAGAAAAAATAAAGTAGTGACTGCGGAAAGTAGGAAAGTACTGGAGTAAAAGTACCGATACAGCACAAAAAAATGTACTTGGGGAAAAGTACACATTTTTAAATCTTCTTAGTAAATCACAATTCCTGTGATAAACTACTCAATTACAAAAGTTTGAGTATTCGTAATTTGTTACTTTACACCACTGAACCCCACAGCTACATACACACACACACACACACACACACACATATGTTCAGATTTTAGCCTAAAATGTATTCTTTTGTAAAAAAAAAAAAAAAAAGTAGAGAAGAAAAAGTGTCTCTATTGTAAGAAGCAGAACCCACCCAGAATCTATCCCTTGAGAGACGCCCGGGCAGAGCTTGTGACAGCTGTTCTGCTCTAACTGACTTCAACTGTAATGTCAAATCTGTCTATCTGTGTGTGTCTGTCTGTTTGTTTGTTGCAGTTCCTTATCCAGTTCTGTTTTATCTACTCATCAAAGCTACTTTCACTCACTGTAGGGACTTGATGAATGTTTTTTTGGTTACTGTATACAACTCTTCTCCTCTTATTTGCATAGATAGGGAATTTTGAAAAGTAGTGGCCCAAATTTCAGTTCTCCTCTATGTACTTCCTCATATATCAGACTGGCGACTTCTCTGAAAAATTCAATGGGTCGAAGTCTTGGTGAATATGAGATGACAAAGCATGTAAACCATGTGGCTATATGCTATTTTTAGAAAATGGTTTGTTTTAATATAACGTCTGGACGTCTATCGTGGAGAAGCTGCAGGTGTGAGTAGGGCACCGGCGGGACTCCTCTGTCACTGTCTATTTTCAGGAATCAGTCTCATGCACTCAGCATCAGCTCGGGATACGGCCTAGTCCAGGATTATGGATACCTTAGGATCAACTCTTCACAGGTCTTGGATCGCATTAATGGCGCTGCATAGTCTCTAGGGACCTCAGAATGAGTATCCCCAGGTGGAAATAGATTAGGTTATAGTATATCCAAATTCAATAGTTTAGAAAGGATCCACAATAAGCAGGTGAACTGCTCAAATAAAAATGACATGGTTATAGTATATCCAAATTCCTGAAGTGGTATAAAAATAGAAGCACAGTCTTTGCAAGCCAAGCTAGATCATGGCTGTGGCTCATCATTTTGTACATAATGAGAACTGAAAATCACATTTCCCAAAGCAAAATCTACAATTTAGGTATTCCATCATCTAACATAATAATAACAATGATAATCTCAAGCTGTGTTTAGCAATTAAAGCAGGAAACCTCAACTGAATGTGCTCAATAAGCCCTCATAAGACGTTGCTTGAACAGCTGTCATGTTGTGCTGCCATTTAAAATAGGCTGCTGCTGCATCTAAAATGCAACATGAATCTTTGTTCCTCTTGGTGTAAGCTATACACCAGTTCTGTGATGTGATGCCACGGGTATTTGTGGGACAGCAATCATCTTAAATTGTCAAAAAGACAGTGGAAATGTGTTCTTGTGTAAGTGAAGTCCATATTTTAGCTTGTTTCTGGGTTAAACAGACTTTGACTTTCATGAGTGACAGATGCAAAAAGCAAACATATTTCATGGTTCGGGGAGCAGCAGAGCAAATGGCATTAGTTACTGACATATGTGCTTAAAGAGACTGTTGACATGATGGCTTTTATTGAGATAGCACAGAGACATGCTGCCATCAAGAAGACGTCATTTATGGAAGGTATATTGTTATTTGATTAAGACTCATCCTACATGTGCTCAGCAGTGTGGTTTCTTAGTTACAGAGTGAATGTGATTGGATGGTTCAGTTATGTCCTCTATTGGACCGTCATGAAATAAAGCAACAGACAAAGATGACCACTGACTGTTGAGCGTCTGAAGTTTGTATAGTCAGAATTGGCAAAGATTTAGCTTGTAACAGTTAACATCCTCGTTAACCAGATGACGATTGAACAATTAAATTAAAATGAAGGCTGATGTGACAATATATGCTGTGTTAAATTTGTTTGTCTCAACTTTGTTACAGCCATCACAATTAAAAGTTGTTTATAGTGGTTTAACAAACATTGAAAATCTTTGCTTTGTACATTTGTTGATATAATAGAGGTTAAATAATATCAACAAATCACATATTCTTAATTTGATTGCATTTGTGTCACATCTTTTTTTTTTTTTAATTGGGGTTGTAGTTAAAGATTTGTTGTGTTTTTACTTGACTTGATTTGCATTTATATAGTAAGATTAGTTTCAAGTTGCTTTCTCAAACTTTCTCAGCATCAGCAGTGTTTACAGTGTTTTAAATATGTTTAAATTCCTTAAATTTCTGATATTCATATCTCTATTATACAGTATCATCTTCACTTTATTAGGTACACCTAACTAGTACTGGATTGGTCCCCCTTTTTCCTTTAGAACTGCTTTAATCCTTTGTGGCATAGATTCAACAAGGTACTGGAAATATTCCTTAGAGGTTTTGGTTCATAATGACATGATAACATCACACAGTTGCTGCAGATTTGTCGGCTGCACATCCATGATGTGAATCTCCCATTCCACCACATTCCAAAGGTGCTCTAGTGGATTGAGATATGGTGACTGTTGAGGCAATTTGAGTACAGTGTCTCTCATTGTCATGTTCAAGAAACCAGTCTGAGGATATTCGCTTTATGGCACGTTATCCTGCTGAAAGTATCCATCAGAATATGGGTACATTGTGGTCTTGAAGGGATGGACATGGTCAGAGACAATACTCGGGTAGGCTGTGGCGTTGACACAAAGCTCCATTGGTATTAATGGGCCCAAAGTGTGCAAAGAAAATATCCTCCACACCATTACACTACCACCACCAGCCTGAACCGTTTATACAAGGCAGGATGGATCCATGCTTTCATGTTGTTGATGCCAAATTCTGACTCTACCACCCGAATGTTGCAGCAGAAATCGAGACTCATCAGACCAAACAACATTTTTCTATTCTTCTATTGTCCAATTTTGGTAAGCCTGTGCAAATTGTAGCCTCAGTGTCCGGTTCTTAGCTGACAGGAGTGGCACCTGTGGTTTTCTTACTGCTGTAGCCCATCCGCTTCAAGGTTGGATGTGTTGTGCCTTCGGAGATGCTCTTCTGCAGACCTCGGTTGTAACGAGTGGTTATTTGAGTTACTGTTGCCTTTCTATCAGCTCAAACCAGTCTGGCCATTCTCCTCTGACATCAACATTTGGCATTTGCGCCCACAGAACTGCCCTTCACAGGATATTTTCTTTTTTGGACCAACGTTAGAGATGGTTGTGCGTGAAAATCCCAGTAGATCAGCAGTTTCTGAAATACTCAGACCAGCCGGTCTAGCACCAACAGACATGCCACGATCAAAGTGACTTAAATCACCTCTCTTCCTCATTCTGATGCTCGGTTAAACAGCAGCAGGTCATCTTGACCATGTCTACACGCCTAAAGGCAGTGAGTTGCTGCCATGTGATTGGCTGATTAGAAATTTGCCTTAACGAGCAGGTGTACCTAATAAAGTGGCCAGTGAGTGTATAAGAGAAGTGATATACGCTGACTTTCTCCTGCTTGCTGCATGTGTCACATTCAGGTGCATAGATTCCAGAGTTAATCTCAAGTTGTGGGTTAAACCCCAAATTGGCAGTGAAAATGTTGAGAAACAACTTAACCAGGTTGGATTTGTTCGGTTTTGTCAAACTGAAACTTGCACCGAGTTGTTTAACTTATTTTGTGCAACAAACCCCATTTTGTGCAACCAGCCCCCTTAGCTCAAACTATATTTCGTTATCTTTTGTACTGTCATTGTCTCTGATTTCTTGAAGTTTATCTCAATTTGTTCTCTTCATAGGTTTGTCTTTGGATCATCAGTCTATGTCAGGTGCTTCTCGTGTTAGGTTGTCTGAGAGAGAAGAAGAATGCCAAACCTGTTATCTCATGGCCTGTGATGCTGGCCTGTTGTACCTGCAAGAGCTTGACAAGGTATGTGAGGGACTGATTCAGAACATTTCTTCATAATGTATTCTCTATTGGTATTGTGGTGTCTCATAGTATATTAAGTGTCTCATGAATGATTCAAATGAAAAAAGCCCCCTGTTCCTAATAAATCGGTGTCTTTCTCAGTCTATGTGCCTTTCAGTCTCTCTATCTGTCTATAATATATAAAAATCAATGTACATTTCTGTGTTTATGTATTCGCTATTTGCAGTGACCATTATACAGTATCTTGCTATGGTATCTGTCCATAGACTGTTTGCACACCAAGTTCCAAAACAGCTAAAAGCGCTTCATCAGTCCCTCATTTTGATTTGGACCCAGGCTTCTTCCTGCAGGCAGCTCTTCAGAGTGCATACCTGTCACTGTTGAGGAAAGGGTGAGCTTGAACCCGCAATTCACACTGTACAGTCTTCTGACCACATGTTGATTTTTATCCATTTATGGGCTTTGTGTGTGTATATAACTGGGGCGTGTGTAAACATTGCTGGTGTTCACAATGTGTGCAGTGAATGTGCCAATAAAGTCCAGCAGGTGTCAGCACTTTCATATAGATGGTCTCACATGAGGTCTTTTTTTTTTCGAGTGGAATTGGCTTTTTATTTCATACAGCAGGGGTTCTCAACTGGTTTGGCCATGGGACCCACATTTTTACATGGTCATCAAGCCGCGATCCAAATTTTTGGGAGCTATAATATAATTTTAGGAATTATAATTCATTTGTATTTATTTGTTAACATACACAAGTAGTGACAGATAAATAATAAGAAAATCACCAAGACTTACAAATAAACAATACTTTATTCAATTCAATTCAATTCAGCTTTATTTGTATAGCGCTTTTACAATGTAGATTGTGTCAAAGCAGCTTCACATAAATGGTCATAGTAACTGGAACAGTGTGGTTCAGGTATTAGTGTTTAAGTTCAGTTCAGTTCAGTTTAGCTGAGTTCAGTGTGATTTAATCATTACTGAGAGTTCAAACACTGAAGAGCAAATTCATCGATGCGTAGATCAGATTATATCTGTCATTTAACAAAATGTATCAAATTATAGGAATATTACTAAGGTAAAACGTCAAATACTGTAAACAGTGGTTAGGGTAAGGAAAAGTTCAGTTGCCATTAACTAAACTGAACTGTTAATAAAACGTTAGCACTGATCCTGTTGAACAAAACAAACCAGCAATCTAAAGTAAAATGATTAAAATAATCATAACCATTTTTATAATAATCACCAGTTATTTGTACTTCTGCTTTTGTGGGGGTTTTCTTGGCCTTTGCTACACAGTGAGCACAGTAAGATGAGCGGAGTGCCTGTACTTGTTTTGAACATAAAGATGTTTGGCACTTTTGTGATGCGTCTTTGAAAATAGTCCACAGGTTTGCAACTGGATGTTTGGTTTTTAAATGTCGTTTTAATTTGTAAGGTTTCATGCTCTCTTGTGAGAGCACTTCACTACACACTGAAGCCTTTTTGTCGTCAATATATGTAAATCCACACTTTACATATTCGGGGTCGTACTTGCGCTTGAAATTTCACATGTCAAACGGTACGGTTGTCGCGCGCGCATTACAGAATAAAAGTTCAATATAAGCAACATGAGTTAAAAATTAAACTTTTGTTGTACACTCCGCGACCCACCAGTTGAGAAACAGTATTTTCATACAGCATAGTAATTAAATAACTAAATGAATTAATTGCAAAATAAACATTAATTCTATATTGTCATTAATGTAATTTGTGTTTACCCTTATGTGCTGTTGGGGATGTTTTCATCCCTTCTGGTGTGATTTTGAGTCTTAATTTGGCCATACCTTTTTCTGTTTTAGCTAGCTAAATTATTTTTTGGTGACAAATCCTATTTTGACACATATTTTAAGAAAATGCTTTGAATTAAAAAAAAAAAAACCTCAATGATACACTCTGGACAAATTAACTACCCCTTTGTTATGTTAGAGATGAAATCATCCACTAAATTAAACTGCATTAAATGCATTAGATTAAAAAAAAAACTTTTGTTTAAAAAGTTTTGCTTAAATATGTTAATCAACCTCAGTCCTGATCAAAACTACTAAATGTTTTAAAATATTACAGGATTTTAACTCTTTTATTGCCAAATTTATAAATGATGTAACTGATTTAATGAAAAAAAAACTAATAAAATCACGTATTTTCTATAAATAAAAAGTAATTGTGGACTGGATTTTCTTTTACCTTTTATTTTGTCTTAGACATGTGAAAAAACATTGCCTTTAGATGCATTGTTTTGGATAGTTTTTCATTTTTTTCTCACTAATTTACTGATGGTGGCGATTTCTGTCCAGAGAGGTCATGTTTTGATTCTCGATTGGTCTCACGCAGTCAAGTGATGCGATTTCGCAGGTCAGAGTTCACCAAGCTTAAACTTTGCACCGCAGCAACCTGCAAACCTTGACGCATGACCCTGCGTTTCTGGTGTGACGCATTCGCGTGCGTATGAATGGAAGTCTATGGGAGGAAAAGCCCAGTGTGTCCGTAGCTTTACTGGTATACTTGAAACACCCAGGCAGGTGTGTTGAGGCAAGTTAGAGCTAAACCCTGCTTTAGATAGGCCTGTGCAAAATAATCTTAGTTTCTGTATTTTATATGGAGTATAACAGCAAATTTGTTAAGTGTGTGTATGTGTCTGCGATATACACCTCAGCTGTCAGAACTATGTGGAGTTAAGAAAAACAAAGACTGTGTATTTATGCACCATCAGATGTGGTTATAATAGAAGCCAAAGGGGCAAAAACAGCCACCAACAGTAAACGGGAGTAAAAAAGGAAAATCTAACAATGCATTAAAGCCAATGTTGTTATTGATCGTTCACATGTCCAAGACTGTGATAAAAGTTAAACAAAATCCAATCCACAATTACTTTTTACCAAATTAGTTACCAAATTAGTGACATCATTTGTGAACTTGGCAATTAAAGAGTTAGGGCCCTATCATACACCCGGTGTAATGCGGTGCAAGGTGTGACGCAATTGTTGTTTGCTAGGGCCCTATCATACACCCACTTAAATGCGGCGCAAGGCGCAACCCAATTGTTGTTTGCTAGTTTCAGCTCGCCGCAAGAGTCTTTCTGACATTTTGCACCACGCTGTTTAAATAGCAAATGCATTTGCGCTCATTTGTGCGCCCATAGGCTGGTCTAAAAAAGGAGGTGTGTTGAGGTGCATTGCTGGCGCGTTGCTATTTTGAGAAACTATAATAGACTGTTCAATAGACCAGATCAAAGCCGGTCTATTGTCCAGCGCAGAGCGCGTTAGTTGTGTGCCTCGCTTACACATTGCTTAATACGGACAGGATGTACAGCAATACGCAAATATCTTTACATATGAAAAAGAATTAAAATATTAAGGATATATATATATATATATATATATATATATATATGATATAATAAGAATATATATAGAATATAAATATGAAGGATTAAAATATTACAAAACATATTATTTTCCTGCCTACATCAATATGAAGACCATACTTGCATGCCTTCTTAATCTCGGGGGCTTTTTTAGTTCATTCATGACAACTTGCTTTTGTAAAATGTTATTATTATTAGCAGTATTATTTATTATATCCATATTTATATTTGTTTTATTAAAAACAAGCTTAGATTTGTCCACCTGTCAGGTTTTAGACCATATGGAGAACAGCATGTGTATTAGGATATAACTCAAGTTTTTGACCACACTTCATTATTATTGTTCATTTATTCGTTTGCTGTAAATTAGAACTAATTTCGAAATAGTTTTGAAACAAATCTTTGCGCTTAACAAACAAAATTAATTATTTATAGGCTAATGGATGTCTGTGCAAAGTTTCCCTGTGTGTGAAGCGCTCAGTTTTTCCACTTACAAAGTCCGCCATGTAAATAGCAAATGCGCTATGGCACAACGCAACTGACTCTTAGAGTGAATGAGAGATGAGACTTTAATTGGTTTATTCTCAAAACACACCTATAACTCATTAAGAGAATAAGCTCAACCCTTTTAGGCCACATGCACGGATTTCCCGTCATTAAAATAGCAAAAGTGGATTCTGACGCGCCCTTAATGCTTTTGCGCCCTGCGCTTTGCACTTTGCGCATGGATCGTCAAAATAAATCCCTTAAAATCCAGTAATTTTTAAAAGCATTTAGTAGTTTTGGTCAGGACTGAGGTTCATTAAAGGATTTCTGCAAAAAATATTTATCTGATGCATTTTTACAGCAGTTTATTTCAGCGGATGTTTTTTATACCTAACAAAACAAACGGGTAGTAATTTTGTACAGTGTACAAGGGTTAAGTTAATGTAAAACAGAAAAGTAAAAATATATAAACTACCGGTCAAACATTTGAGGTTAATACAATTCTTAAATGCTTTAAAATAAGCTAATCCTGCTCACCAAGGCTGCATTTATTTCAGCAAAAATACAGTACAAAATGTAAAATTGTGAAATGTTATTACACTATAAAATAACTGTTCAAAAGTAGTTTATCATTTAATTTAATAATTTATTCCAGTGATTTTAAAGATACATTTTCAGCTTTATTACTCCAGCCTTCAGAGTCACATGATCTTCAGAAATCACTTGGATATTAGTTGTCATTATTATTATTATTATTATTATTATTCATTCATTCATTTTCTTTTCAGTTTAGTCCCTTTATTAATCCGGGGTCACCACAGTGGAATGAACCATCAACTTATCAAGCACATTTTTACGCAGCGGATGTCCTTTTAGCCTCAACCCATCTTTGGGAAACATCCACACACACTCATACACTACAGACAATTTAGCCTACCCAATTCACCTGTACCGCATGTCTTTGGACTGTGGGGGAAACCGGAGCACCCGGAGGAAACCCACACGAACACAGGGACAACATGCAAACTCCACACAGAAACGCCAACTAAGCCGAGGCTCGAACCAGCAACCTTCTTGCTGTGAGGCGACACCACTACCTACTGCGCCACTGCATCGCCCATTATTATTATTATAATTATTATTAATGTTATTGTTATTGATATAAAATAGTAATAGTAATAAAAGCAACAATGACTGGAGTAATAATTTCTTTTAAAACTACATACAACATGAAAGCAGCTATTTAAAATTTCAATTAATATTAAACAACTGAACTTTACACTTAATAAATGCCGCTTTGATGAACAGAATAATTACCTTAAATCGTAAAAAAAATAAAAATAAAAAATTAGCCCAAACTTTTGACCCATAGTGTAGGTTACAGAATTTTATGCAAGGAATTTTTGTACAACTTAAGCCTGTAAAATATATTAGATGTGCATTGAATCTTATAATGAAATTTGGCAGGTTTCTGGTCATCTAGTGATTTTTAGTCTTCTCAGTTGCACTTCTCTTTTCTCTGATTCATGCAATTCCACATAGTTCAGAGATGTAACTCAGAAATCATTCTAATATATTTAATGCTATATTTTTGTTGTAATATTTCACATTATTGTTGCTTAATGTTGTGTTATCAGTTGAAACTGTTCTGCATTTTTAAGGATACTTCAGTTATTGATTTATTTAATCTTACTGAAAGTCTTACCAAACCTTTGTGCTGTGGTATACAATATAAGGAACATACAGTGGAATTATTCTAAACTTTGCCATTAGAATGATTATAATATCTAATTTTCATCTGCTCTCTTTTTAATAAGAGACACAATCTCATTTAGATGTGATATAAAAATGATCAGTGTTGTCTCGCTCTCTCATGATCTTATTTTTGTTTGCTTTTCATCAATTATTTTCCATGCATGTGTGTTAGTCACTTGGCTCAGGGTACACACCAGCTGCGGCGAGTCTTGAGGGCTGTGGAGAGTCGGGGATCTCAGAGTTTTCGCAAGGTTAGATCTTTGTATAAATGAGATTTTTGATTAGCACAAACACACACTGACTTGTTGGTGTTGTTTCCCGTTGTGTCATGCTGTTTAGACGGTCGCACGCAGGCTTGCAGAGGTGTTACTGGGTTCAGTGTGTGAGGACGCTTACTGGGGTCCACTTTCTCCCCCACCACCTGGATGGCTGAAGAAAGAAGGAGCCACACATCCGAAAGATGCCATCTACCCCTCGTCCAAACCACCACAGCGCTACAGCACTGAGGGGTCAGCCTCTTATTTAGTCTATTTTTCTCTTTTATAATAAATCTGTATGATGAAAGCTATTTTGACACAATTACAAATTAAAAGTACAAATCTTGACATAATTGTCTAAATTGTATAAGTTTAATTAGATGTCTCCTGTCAGTCCTGTGCTGTTATAATCATGTAGAATATGTCTTTAAGATACTTTTGTACAGAACTTTGTACACAGCTTGTTTTTTAGAGCAAACACTCCACATATGCCTTGCAGATATACAGTGTGTATGGAATATATTCAGAGCCCCTTAAATTTTTCACTCTTTTTTCTATTATATTTATATTGCATTTAAACAGCACTCCGTATTGATAGAAAAATACTGAATTGTTGACATTTTTGCAGTTTTATTAAAAAGGGAAGCTGAAATATCACATGGTCCTAAGTATTCAGACCTTTTGCTTGGTATTTAGTAGAAGCACCCTTTTGGTCTAATACAGCCATGAGTCTTTTTGGGAAAGATGCTAAGTTTTCGCACGTGGATTTGGGACGCCTCTGCCGTTCCTCCTTGCAGATCCTCTCCAGTTCTGTCAGGTTGGATGGTAAATGTTGGTGGACAGCCATTTTTAGGTTTCTCCAGATATGCTCAATTGGATTTAAGTCAGGGCTCTGGCTGGGCCATTGAAGATCAGTCACAGAGTTGTTGTGAAGCCACTCCTTCATTATTTTAGCTTTGTGCTTAGGGTCATTGTATTGTTGGAAGGTAAACCTTTGGCCCAGTCTGAGGTCTTGAGCCCTCTGGAGAAGGGATTCATCCAGGACACCACCATGCTTCACTGTTGGGACTGTATTACAGGAGTAGTGCCTGTTTTTCTCCCACATATCACTTAGAATTAAGATGAAAAAGATTTATCTTGGTCTAATCAGACCAGGTGTTTTTTTTTTTTTTTGGCAAACTCCATGTGCGCTTTCATGTGTCTTGCACTGAGGAGAGGCTTTAGGTGGGTCACTCTGCCATAAAGCCCAAACTGGTAGAGGGCTGCAGTGATGGTTGACTTTTTACAACTTTTTCCTATCTCCAGACTGCATTTTTTAAGCTCAGCCACAGTGATCTTTGGGTTCTTCTTTACCTCTCTCACCAAGGCTCTTCTTCCCTGATAACTCAGTTTGGCCTGATGGGTTCTGGTCGCCCCTAATGTCTTTAAGGTGCAGTATGTATGTTTGACACCCAGCTTTTGAACTAGAACTTACATTTCTGGATCAAAACAAACGCAAGCGCAGGTTGCCAGATTGATGGAGCGAGTCTGGCTATTGAGCCTAAAGACTGATTTAAGTCTTGTTCTAAATAAAAGCAGCGGCACGCGATAGAAGGAATATTTTCTATATTAAATGTTTTTTGTTCTAACCAGCACCTCAAACTGATATATTAGAAACAGCTTCTATATCTTGCGGAAAAACAGAAAACTAACATGATCACCTCTTGTACACCTCATGTGCTTTATTCAGTGTTAAATGCTAATAATGTGAGCTTGAATGCCATTTTACATGACATTTATTGCCATACTACTGAAAGCAGCAGCAGATAGTTCACCTCAGATCTTGAAAATGAAATAAACCCCTTGATATTGGACTTTAGAACTGAGAAATAATGCAAAACAACACACATCAGTGATTCAGCATCTACATTTAATAATGTTTAAGAGGTTTAATATGTATTAATTAGATTATAAACCTCACCATTTCGTGAGTGAGTGCATATTCTGTGCTTCTGAATGGCTGTATTTACATTTCTGTCGTGTTTCGTCTTGTGCAAAGAGCCAAATAGCTTATCATTGCAAATCTCGTCATGTAGCATGTTGTTAGGATACAGGGTTACAATGTAACCTGCTCACTTAATATTTACGCTCGTAATATTTAGATTTTTTGCTAATTAATAACCTCATGTGAAACTTTGAATCTGCATCTCATTTTGGAGTCTGCTACTGTCCACCGGAGATCGCATTTCAGTCACGGACACATGCTTTAAGAGCCTTTTTGAATGAATAAATGAATGAATGAATGAATAAAATATGTGGTTTTCCACCAAGGCAACTCAGGGGTGCTGAAACATAATTGGCTAAACTGGCATTGGGCAGGTTAAAAGAACCAAAATAAAGACAGCATTCCGACAAGGAAACACATTTTCAATGCAGAATATCTGACTTCAGCCGTGTTTTTCAGATAAACAAGAATGTTCACTTAGCATGTTTTCTGAAATATCTGCAAACATATTATGGTATTTTCATGCTTTTGAAAAGTCAAAAACTTACACACAGCACCTTTAAGGATTATGTAGGCCACTGTGCTCTTAGGAAGTGCAGCAGATTTTTTTTGTAACCTTGGCGGGATTTCTGTCTCTGAGTTCTTCGGGCAGTTCCTTTGACCTCATGATTCTCATTTGCTCTGACATGCATTGTGAGCTGTAAGGTCTTATATAGACAGGTGTGTGGCTTTCCTAACCAAGTCCAATCAAACACAGCTGGTATCAAATGAAGGTGTAGAACCATCTCAAGCATGATTAGAAGAAATAGACAGCACCTAAGTTAAATAAATGAGTGTCACAGCACAGGGCCTGAAAACTTAGGACCATGTGATATTTCAGTTTTTCTATTTTAATAAATCTGCTAAAATGTCCACAACTCTGTGTTTTTCTGTCAATATGGGTTGGTGTGTGCATTAATAAGGGAAAAATGAATTTGAACTTTAGCAAATGGCTGCAATATAACAAAGAGTGAACATTTTTTGTACCCACTGTATGTGTGCTATCTGCGTCATTTTACTCAGAGAGCTTCAAAAACCCAGAAAGGGCAAAACAAATTTAGTTTATTTCTTGTCAGATCTAAATAATTGCTTAAAACTATACCAAACATTGTATTTTCAAAATACCCGTAGGCCCAACACAATCTCACGGCAATTCGTAACTTTTTCATTTAGTGGCTAATTCGTATGAATTCGTACGATCTAATTCGTACAATTTAGTACGATTTGCTTATCCCCCAATGACGGTTGGGGTTAGGGGTGGGATCAGGTGCCACGCCTCCTTTTTAAAATCGTACCATTTCGTACGACTGAACTTGTACGAATTCGTACGAATTAGCCACTAAACTGGCAAAACGTAAAATACTTACATTTTCTCGTGAGATCAGGCTGGTAGGCCTCTGTTGTTGACATGTAGAATACAGGTATGTATGTTTCTATACTTTTAAAACTTGTAACAACATTCTAGCATGTTGTAACAAGTTTTAGCACATTGCTTTTTCAAGCTTATTTAACATTGCTAGCATGGTTAACATGTTGTTAATATGTTGTACATATTTCTAGCATGTTTTAGCACATCACAGTCATGCCCTATTGTATGTTACTTGCTAAGGTTTTCTTTGGATGTTGTGAAATAGCAGACAAAGCATTCAGTTAAATGGCCATATTTTTGTCAAGCAAGCATGTTAATAGTTAAGTTTAACAGTTAAATGTACAGTAAATCTCACTGGTATCATTAAATTGTACTGTTTTTAGCTATACTTGACAATACAGATCGATCATTAGAATCAGAGAGAAGCGAACAAAGAGGTGAGCAGAGGGCAGAGCTGGGGTTTGTTTGCCTGATTTGATATTCAGGACACGGCGGAATGCTGTGTTGTGAATAAAACATACTGTAACTGTACCTGTGAGTCTGCAGAAGCCAAACAGTGAAAGAAAAAATGCAGGAGAGATGTAAAAGAGATGACATTTGGGGGAATGTCTAAATAGAAATGATGACAGATGAAAGGAACACCCCAGTTCAGCATTTATGGTACAGCTTCCAAACCATGCTCTGTCAAAAAATGTAGGTGATATAGAAGGAAGTAAGATGAAGGCTTGAGATGGACTGAAGGGAGAAGAGAAAGCCGTGTCTGGAAAGAAAGTAAAAGTTGTTCAGAATACCAAAAACAACCTGTAAAACTAAAGTAAAGAAACAGCTCTGAGGATGGTAGTGTAAGTCTAGAGAGCTCTGTTACAGAATTGATATGTGTAACTAGAGACTGGTACACTCACACACACCTTTGTGATGTGTTTTTTCCTTTTCCTGTTGCCACACTGCAGAGCTTTCTGTCCAAAGGACGTGGTTGAAGAGGCGGTGCTGGTTCTCCTCATCACAGAATCAATGGTGAGACATTTTTACGTTCTTCCTTTCTGCTTTAACATGATGTGTTGTGACCTCACTTTACATTAACTGCATATTTGGAACTATTGCAGAAATATATATGGAATGCTGTATAATTTCTCTGTAATTTACTTATTGTTGCAAACCCATATGCTGTAATTTGTTTGGTGGAATACAGGAGGTATTTTTTTAAGAATGCTACTCTTATTCATATTTATAAAGTTCTAAAGTGACTTTTAAATTGTCCTAATGAATCCAGATTGATTTGGATGCCACAGGATGATGAATACAGCATATTTAATTAAGTGTGGTGCGGTCACCACAGCGGAATGAACCACCAACTTATCCAGCATATGTTTTACGCAGCGGATGGCCTTCCAGCTGCAACCCATCACTGGGAAACATCCGTACACACTCATTACACACATACACTATGGACAATTTAGCCTACCCAATTCACCTAAACCACATGTTTTTGGACTTGTGGGGGAAACCGGAGCACCCGGAGGAAACCCACACCAACATGGGGAGAACATGCAAAGTCCACACAAAAACGCCAACTGATCCAGCCGGGGCTTGAACCAGCGATCGTGCTACCCATGGGCTATACACACACACTATGAAATGGCATTTAGGAAAATTTGAGCATTCCATTCAAGTTTCATTCAGTAAATTCAGTAAATTCAGTTCAAGTTTCCAAATTCCATATATTCAAATAAAATTTTTCTGAATTATATATATATATATATATATATATATATATATATATATATTATTATTATTATTATTATTAATTTTAACAGAAAATATACATTTTAACAGCAAGACAAGTTTGTAATGTATATTATGAAATGGGAGTACATTTCTTTGACATTAAGGACAGACAATGTAAAATTACTAGTTTGCAATAAAGTACTAGTTCAGTCTTTCTACATTAAAATGTCTAATTTAATTAATTAATTTCTTTGTAATTATTTTTTACATTTACATTTTTTTTTGTAAATAACGGACAAAAAAATATGCTTTAGACCAGGGGTCACCAATCTCGGTCCTGGAGGGCCGGTGTCCCTCCAGTGTTTAGCTCCAACTTGCCTTAACACACCTGCCTGGGTGTTTCAAGTATATCTAGTAAGATCTTGATTAGCTTGTTCAGGTGTGTTTGATTAGAGTTGGAGCTAAAATCGTCAGGACACCGGCCCTTCAGGAACAAGTTTGGTGACCCCTGCTTTAGATAAATGTATATGACAAACAAATGCAATCTTTACAGTATTGTATTTGTTTGTCAAATACATTTATCTAAAGCAGAGATGGCCAAACTAGGTAACCTTTTATTTGGCCCTTCATCCCATCTAAGAAGAGAATGAGAATGATGGTTAAGAGACTGTATTTTCTTAACTAATGTAACATTTTGTTTGTTTTATTGCTAAGTTACAAAAAAACTAACTGTAATAAAATGTTTTAAATGAATCAGATTTTTTCCTAAAATTACATACTGTCACCCAACGGACAGAAGACAATGCAGAGATATCAGTGAGCGACTGAAAGGAAAGGCAGATTCTGCTTGACTACTGTTTTCAGCATTGTCATAAATGTGATTTTATGTTTTTATTGTAAGAATTTGTCATTTAAAAAATCATACGGCATTAGTTAATACAATTTAAAGCAATGTTTTCTGTTTATTTTGAAATAAATTAGGAAACTACCTATGGCAACATTCATGTAAAACATTTTGTTATATTTACCTTCGGCCAACGTCTCTCCATGATATTTGGTTTCAAGAGTTCACACTTAGCTGATGATTTATAAAAGCTTGTTTGGCATGCTGTCCCGGGAGAGAGCCCCGAGCTCAAGGGCTCCTCGAGCCCGGGGCTTCCCCCCGTTGGCAGAGCAAGAGGGGAGCCTGAGCTCGGTGGATCTCAGAACTCCCCTGCTGTGGTAGCTAAGGGAACACATGGGATTAGACAAAGCTTGATTGTTATGTATGTTGAATGTCTTTGGATGGTGGGAGGAAACCGGAGAACCCGGGGAAAACCCACGAGGACACGGGGAGAACATACAAACTCCTCACAGAAACACCCACCGGTCCTGTGGAACCAGGGCTGGCAGTGTTCTTGCTGTGGGGCTCACAGTGCTGACCACTGGGCCGCCGTGCCGCCCAATCAGAGGTAAAGGAGGAGAATAGGGGAGGAGGGGGGTTTCTTCCAAACCAAGATAAAGTGAACTGAAAACTGTGGCTATTTATAGTAGCTTAGGGCTCATATGATTGGAAGATAGTGATTAGCAAATGCGAGACCGGCCGTGATAAATCATAAGCACGTGATCCTCTCGAAATTAGTTTATGGATAAACTTCACTTTTGGCCCCCCATATGAAAAAGTTTGGGCACCCCTGATCTAAATCAACCTTAAACAGATCAAACTAAATGACAGACATTTGTTTAATCATTTAAATCTCTCTTTTCTTTTCAATTAGCCAAATAACACTATACAATGTTTAGAACAATTTGAGGTATTTTAAAATATGTATTTTAGAGTGAATGATCCCTTTGACACAGGTCTTGCATCTCGTATAGATACTCTGCTAACTGAAAGTCAATGTAATTCTTGACATTTCAATGAATTAGTTAAATATCTGCATCACTGGAACATTTGGGAAACAGTTTTTATATAAATCTTTGTTGTCTCCTGTAGGCCAGTGGTGAGGCAGTGATCAGCCGCACACCGGAGCACCGGGAGGCGAGAGAGAGCAGCATGCAGGATGCCTCCTCTGTTTATGATCTGCTGAGCATCGGCATGGGCAGGAGAGGGCAGTACTCCATGCTGTCAGAGGTTAGATGAGTCAGCACAGATCTGTATTGACCCAATGTTTGGCAAAAGAGAACTGGAAGCAACCTGTATTTTATGCAGTAGCTTCTTTCGCCTTCTTTGCTACAAGTTGCCTTTTTCAATCTTTCAATCTCTCTTTCCCCTTCTCCCAGTTGTATGGGTGATTAGCCCTTTCTCCTCCGCCCTGTCCTTCAGGTTGTTTCAGTAGTTGAGCCATTGTGTGATGGTGAGCGTTTACTCAGAGACGTTCTCAGGTGAATCTGATCTCAGTGCTTTTAGTAGGTTCGTTTCAACTGATTCCATGTCATTTCACTGGTAACCCACATTACACTGCTTTTACTCAGTATTTCCAAGTCATGTCTGCTTGCATGTCGAATGTAAATCCCTTTCTCATTAAATTTAAGCGCACTTTGTCATGCATGTGCCATGAGGGTATGTGTACAGGATACACACAATCCCGTATCAGGGCTGAAACAAGATCCTTCCTAGAAAAACTGAGTAATGCTGAACAACGCATTATCATTTAGCTCTGTTTCTTCTGATGTGCTTCTTGGAAAGCTGAATCCCTGATTCAGAGTTTCTTTCTGACTGCGATGTGTATTTTTTGTCATCAGTGTTTGGAGCGGGCCATGAAGTTCTCCTATAATGAGTTTCATCTTTGGTATCAGCTTGGCTTGTCATTAATGGCAAGTGGGAAGGTGAGATTGCTGACATCATTATGCTTCTATTGATTTATTAGTCATTTGTTGCTATGACTGGCTGTGTTTTTGATTCTGTTAAATAAGATCTGACGTTTAATAAAATGTAAGTATTCAAGGTCAAAATCAAATTTATTATCGTTCTAAAGCAGCTTTAAGACAAATCATGATAACTAAATGGTAATGCTTTTAGTCACATGTAGCAGATTAGAGATGCTATTATATGTACTTATACAGTAAATGCACACCGTACACACATATACAGTAGAAATCAAACATACAGAATCACTTCTAAATGTTTTTTTTTCATAAATAAAATCTTTACCATTTCACGTTTAAACCAGTTAAACTCAGCGGACGCGGTAACCGTGACGTCATCGACATTCGCTTTAAGATTTAAAGGGCTAGCATTGCACCAGACCCCCTTAAGTGGTTTCGTTTGAAAGCGCAGAATCTATATTGTATGCACATATGCATCACTTTGGTTTTTATTCTACTGTACAAAAGTTATTTACACCTAAATACACAGTATTTTGGATACCTGAGCTGGGTATTTTACATTGGTTCATTTTCATATTTTTCATATGACACATGTACAAGTTATAGCTCAAATGAAAGCTCCTGCCGGTGCTCATACGGTTCTAGTGTTCTTTTTACTGAATTATATTCCCATATCAAACAGTTGCCAAATAAATCACGATGTTTCCATGGCGCAGAAGTAAAAACAATACATTTATGATCAATATGCAGCCCCAGATAGCACAGACAGCTGTCATCTCTTACCTTATGCTGTGCGCTTCAGGGCCATTTTTCCTCTGTTTTTGAGGTTATGTGCATAAGGAATCCTTTTATATGTCTAATGTGGTCCAAACACAGTGAATTATGTTTGATCAAACAAAAGAATAGTGAAATATGAAAACAATGGTTGGTCCCTGTGGCTTGTATAGCACCTCTCATCAGTTTGAATACAATAACTTTTACATAGATTATGGCAGAGACATTTTTCTTTTTTTTCTATGATTACAGACATGTGCAGGAACCACCAAAATTAATTACAGCACCCTAGACCACACAGAACCTAAAAGGTACACTTTCAAATTTGAGTTTAAAAAAAAAAAAATAGAAAAGGCGCCTCTTTTTTTAAGTGTTTATTATAACACAGACAACATAAATAGTTATTTTAAACACTTAGTAAATAGTGTTTTATGAAAATTCAAAGGGTTTTCTTTAAAATGATACCTAATTTTTGCATTTACACCTCTGCATGTGGATTTGGGAAGCTTTTAAATTTGGGTAGGCGGAAATACAGGCGGAAATCCCAAAATAACAGCAGAGTTTAACTGGTTAATAATTTTAGTTGTGGCTATACTATACTAGTGCTCTTGGGTTCGGGTCAGGTTTCAGCTGATAATACTTGTTAATGTTATCGTCCTGGCTGGGCCAGTTGGCATTTCTGTTTGGAGTTTGTCCCTGTGTTTGCTCGGGTTTTCTTCTGGGATGCTCCGATTTCCTCCATAGTTCAAAGACATGCGCTGTAAGTGAATTGGATGAACTAAATTGGCTGTAGTGTATGAGTGTGTGTGAATTCTGTAAGTGTATGGGTGTTTGCCAGTAATGGATTGTGGCTGAAACGGTGTCCGCTGCTAAACATATGCCAGAATAGTTGGCAGTTCATTCCACTGTGGTGACCCCTGTGAAGTAAGGGACTAAGCCCGAGAAAAATGAATGAATGAATGAATTTTCTCACATTGGACTGAGACCTACAGATACAGAAGGTAACCTATTGGATATATATATATAGTTTTTATTTATTTATTTATTTTTTTACTTTTAGGGGGGTTAATTTAATCTTGATACACATGTGGTTTTCCTGGTCTTTCAGTTCAAATTCTCTTAAACATCAAGATGTCAAGATAAATCCTTATCCTGTTTAGTGTTGAACTGGTGAGCAGTTGCAGACTCAGTCTTGAACTAGATGCCATTTGGTTTGAGATTCTTTGCATTGCCTTGATTTCTCTTTCATAATTGACCAGCATTTTAGGGGGTCCTTAATGAGGTAGTGACAGTTTTTTTAAAGAGCAAGCTGCATCCAACAGAAGTGCTCTGGAATGCTCACGGCTGTTGTATTTGGATGAGGGTTGGTATTTTCAGCTGTGTAATAGCACTTTGGTGGACTCTCAACCATACGTCTTTTCATAAGCCAGTATTGCAGTATTATTTAGGGACAGTTGTGGCCCAATGGTTCGGATGTTGGATTAATCAAAAGGTTGCAAGTGCAGTTCCTGGCAGAAAGTGAAGATAGGGAGTAGGACTGGGAGATTTGTCCTAAAATCAAAATCTCGATTAATTGAATATTTTAACTTGATTATGATTAATAAACGATTATTTTATTTGTTTATTTATTTTTGCCTTTATAGTTCGCTGACAATTTTTTGTACAGTAAACATGCCCACATATTACAAGGGTTTTTTGAATGAAGGGTGCATTTTTTGATTTAAAAAAAAAAATTTATGAACCATACACTAGTTTCCAGTTTCCTTTATTTATGTCATTCAACACATCACAATAGAATTGTAATACAGAACGAAATTATGTTGCAACAGACCCAACAACAACATAAAAAACATCATTATACAAACACTATAAAATCCTAACATGATAAAAAAGCTTTTATAATTCCATAAAAATATAAAAATAAAATTATATAATATATAACCTATTTTTTTTATCTCTGAAGAGAATAACTTAATACTTAAATACCTATTTTGCCATTTGTTGTAATATTAACATTTTATGCTAGTTTAACAAGTTTATTGATTTATTATTTAACACTAGCTATAAACAATGCTTAAGAAATGGTATTATTCAAAAGTCTTATAATGACAGGATAAAAACTTTCCCGAAACTGCTCTGATTTGCACCTCAGGCGTCTGTAACGCCTGCCTGATGGCATGAGTGAGAGCAGGCTATGACCAGGGTGGGTTGGATCCCCTAAAATGTTAGTTGCCCTAGACCATGGGTGTCAAACTCAATTCCTGCAGGGCCGAAGCCCTGCACAGTTTAGTTCCAACCCTGCTCCAACACACTTACCAGTAGGTTTCAAACAAGCCTGAAGGACTCAATTAGTTTGATCAGGTGTGTTTAATTAGGGTTGGAACTAAACTGTGCAGAGCTGCGGCCCTTTTGGAACTGAGTTTGACACCTGTGCCCTAGACAGACAACGTCGTTGATAAAGTTCCTCGATAGATGTCATTTTGACTCCAACAGACCTTTCAGCTGACTTTATGATCCTTTTAATGGTGTTCTTGTCAGACACACTGCTATTCTCATACCAAAGGGAGATGCCATTAGTAAGAACACGAGAGTTGGTATTTTCATGAGAGTTAATTTAGACTATTAACTATCTATGATTATTTATTGATCATCAACGCTGAACAACTGAAATTAAAACACACGTTGCTAAAACAAACAGTCACTTTTTTTCTATAAAAAGTGAAAATAAATAATTTGCACTTTTGGAAACAGAATGAATTATTTTCAATGTGTTTCATATTAAAAGTAGAAAATAAGCAGTATCTTTTCTAAATAAAGCAGCTCTTGTATATTCTATAAATATTATGTTTAACAGTGCATTTCTTGAATCTTTTGTAAACATTTTAATGTAAATAATAAATAAACATGCCGTCTCAAGGCATCTCTGGCGCAGCTTCCAATCTTTGTCAATGTGGTGCAAACGTGCAATATGTAGTTGCATTTTTTGAGAGGTGTGCAGGTATGCGACCGTGCGAAGACTGCAGGCCATATGTGTACGCTCAACGCAGAAGTATAAATCAGCCTTAACAGATCGAGGTCACGTGACTCCACATGCAGTAGTGAAAGTAAATGAAAAAATTGACCTGGAAAAGTTTGATCGATTATAGGTTCTGAATGTCATGTTCTGATTACTGATTACTTTTCGATTAAATGCCCAATGCTAATTAGGAGTGAATAAAACACACTCTCACCATCTTTGATACCCTGCTGAGCAAAGCACCTAACCCCGCATTGCTCCCCTAAGTGCATGCTCACTGTGTTAAAAGCAAGACCAATCTCGAGTATGGATGAAACTATACTTAACAAGACTCATTTGTTTTGTTTAGGGGACAGGGAATGTTTATAGCTTGATAAATGCAGGCACCATCACAGAGTTTTTTTATATATCCCATCATTAGGCCCACACGGAATCTGCTCGCGTTGAATTCCGCAGATTTTCTGGAGATTTTCCGCAGAATTCCGCAGATTTCTGCAGATTTTTAGCCCATTATTAATTCTGATTTATATTAAATCGGAATTTATTCAGTTTTTATTCAGTAATTTATTACTTTTTATTTAATATATTAAGGTTTTAGTTATGATACTCCGCTGGATACTCCCAAAATAATTCCACAGAAATCCGCAGATTTTTTTCAAAATTCTCCGCAGAAATAGCAAAAAATGCCCGCAGATTCCATCTGGCCCTGCCCATCATATGTTTATGTATAATCCCATTAGTCCTACACCACCCGCCCTCTCTGAGCTGGGATCGAACCGGTGACTCTCCGTATGGAAGCCGATTGCTCTGACAAAGACCATGGACTCTCGTATCTGTGGCTAGAGCATCTTTAGAGGTCAGAGGAGTAAGTGCACAGCACTTTACTTTCTGGCCTTCGCTACATTAACCCCCCCTAAATCTCACTTCTATCTGGGTCATGGCACCAATGTAACCCAGCCGGTCCTACACCACTCAACACGTTCCGAGCTGGGACCGAACTGCATGATAGTTGGTTGCTCTAACAAGGAGCCTAAAGACCACGACCTTCACTAGCTGGCTTCTGTTACATATACATAGAGCATGTCAGTCTAGTTTTTAGTAAGGTAAGGCAAGTTTATTTATATAGCACATTTCACATACAATGGTAACTAAAACTGCTTTAAATAAACGAGAATTAAAGAAACAAGAAAATCAAAACAACAAAGAATTAAAAATTATTAAAAAGCAGATTAAAATGTGTTCAAACAGGTTTTGAAAAGGAGAAAGAACAACATAATAGAGCGACTTTTCGGATGTAGCACAGTGCTTATTCCGAAAACGCACAGCTAATAAAGTAATAAACGGCTAGTAATAAAAAAGAATAGAGAAATTACTGTGAGATGGCATTTAAAAACTTAATTAATTAAACTTTGCAATGTTAATCTAGGAATTACTTATGCGCGTAAGTTTTTATTTTTATGAATAAAAAGCCTTGATGTTAATCTGTATATTAATGCAGATATACATTTTTATATGAAGAGAATCTAAATATTGTCATTGTCCATGTAAATTGTATACAAATAAAAACGTCATGTCTGATATTTTTCAGAATGAGGATGCAGTGGCAGTCCTTAAAGAGTGTGCGGCAATGAGACCACAGGACCCCATACCACCTCTGCTTGCAGCAAAAGTGTGCATCAACCACCTGCACTGGGTGAGAGAAACTCGCAAAGCCTACGTACACAACATTCAGATTGAATCAAAAAATAAAGTAAACATTTCTCTTATAGAAAGAGAAATGTAATTTTAACAGGTTTATAGAGAGACTGAATCCATTTAATGTTATGTATATAAGTAATGTTATTTGTAGTCTAGTTGAAACTAGGACCCAAGAGAAGCATCTATCTGAATTGTTGATTTGCTTTAATAATTTTGTACTGGATGTATCAGTAAGTACTAGATTGAGTTGAGATTTAGACACTAATAGGTATTAAAATTCTAGATATACTTTTAACACAATGCAATGTACGCTCACAACACTATCAATCAAATGGATACGTAACTGTTGAAAGAGATTAGGGCACATCTGTTGGCATAGTGCTGAATACAGAAAGCACACTATAAGAGGCTTATAGCACAATAGGGTCGGATAGCCACATAAACTTAATGCACAAGATTTAATGCCAGACAGCACGCCATCATACTGTCACAGACCAGTTCTTAACCATCCCTGCATCCGAACAAGCCATTTGTGTGTCAATGCATGTTTAAATGTACTCAAAAAGTTTTGTTACGGTTTGGCATTAAATATTTGAGCAGTTGGGGTCATGTCTTATACTCATCAAGTTTTAATTTATGTAATCACAATGCAGCAAAAATATTATTATCGTGGCAAATGCTTCACATTTTAAAGCAACTGTTTTATGTTTTCATACACTCCAAAAATGTAACTTCTTCCTGTGATGAAAGCACAGTTTCTTACATATCAATGTTCAGTGCGATCTGATCCTACAGAAATCCTTTTATTGTACTGTTTTCCTTAGCAAACACCGAATGAATGAACTGGTGTTCATTGATAAAATTGTTCTTTATATTATTTGCACTGTTGACCGTTGAATGTTTAGTTAGGGGTGCTTAATATTGTTATTATTGAAAACTATTATATTTTTCTTCACATTTAGATATAGGAATAATTTGTAATCTGTTTTTTATAAATGGAACGTGTCCTTTCTGAACAAAAATATGAATCTCTTTAATTTTAAAAACAATCTTACTGACTCAAAGTTTTGCAATTGTCAGAGTAATAGTGCTACTTTTGTTAACACAGGTTATAATAATAATTGAGCAAGATTCATTGTATTAGAATGAACCTTTAAATTCCATGATTAAAAGTAGGGATGTCCCGATTATTATTTTTTTTGCCCCACAGTCCGAGTCATTTGATTTTAAGTACCTACCCATACTGAAACCTGATCTGATACAACTGTATCTCAGTTTGCTATGGCAATGTTGTCATCATCAACTTTATAATACCTCCAGACAGCAGACATACTCGGGTTGTTGCTAGATCAGATATGGTTGTAACCATAATTTAACGTAATTATTCAGTGTCACAAAAATGATGCTATATTGATGTGCGTATCCACAGCTGTATCCTATCTAGACTTTACCACATACTCGCGCTTTCCGCTTCAAGCTGCTTTCGTGTTCTATTTTGCCAGAATTTAACCAGATTCTGCAACAAAGTGATGCTACCTTTGTTGCTGTTTTTATGTGTCATCAAGAAAGAAATCTAACTCTGTTCCACCACATAACGATATATATATATATATATATATATATATATATATATATATATATATATATATATATATATATATATATATATATATATATATATATATATATATATATATATATATATATATATATATATATATATATATATATATATATATATATATATATCAGAATTATTAGCCCCTTTTTGATTTTTTTGATTTTTGATTTTAAATATTTCCCAAATGATGTTTAACAGAACAAGCTAATTTTCACTGTTTGTCTAATAATATTTTTTCTTCTGGAAAAAACTTATTTGTTTTATTTCGGCTATTTTAATTTTTTTTTAAACGTTTTTGGGACAAAATTATTAGCCCCTTTAAGCAAATTTTTTTGATAGTGTACAGAACAAACCATCATTATAGAATAACTTGCCTAATTACCATAACCTGCCTAGTTCACCTTATTAACCTAGTTAAGCCTTTAATTATCACTTTAAGCTGTATAGAAGTGTCTTGACAAATACTATTTACTGTCATCATGGCAAGGATAAAATAAATCAGTTATTAGAGATAGGTTTTTAAAACTATTGCGCTTAGAAATGTGCTGAAACCATCTTCCCTCCTTTAAACAGAAATTGGGGAAAAAAATAAACAGGGGCGCTAATAATTCAGGGGGGCTAATTATTCTGACTTCAACCGTGTGTGTGTGTGTGTGTGTGTGTGTGTGTGTGTATATATATATATATATATATTGGGGAAATTGAATATATATATAATATATATATTCATACAACAGTTCAGTCTGGTTCTCGAATCTGATTGGCTGATAGCCGTGATATATTTAAGTAATATCAGCACCCGTACAGCCTCTTTACCCTTTGTGTATTACTCCACCCACATACAGCCAGCAACAAGCAGACACTACAGATCTAAAGTTTAAAAGATGCACGCTCAGCTTGCTCAGCTGTCAGCTTATGATTTGAATCCAATGTGGAAGAAAGTAGTTCCTCATACAAAAGAGTTTTTGAGAATCTCCATGATTGATTTTGTTTTTATATACAAAATTATGCCGTCAAACTGTTATATAAATGAAATATCACACTTGTAGCAGTGCGATATGGCTGTATATCGGCACTGGTGGGGGGACTAAGGCGCTCGTGCCAACGCACGCCTCCCACCAGTGCCAATATACAGCCATATCGCACTGCTACTCGTTAAAAATAAAAATACTTATACTTATTCTAGATTCTTAAAAGTAGCCACCTTTTGCTTTGATTACTGCTTTGCACGCTCTTGGCATTCTCTCAATGAGCTTCAAGAGGTTGTCACCTGAAATGGTCTTCCAACCGTTTTGAAGGAGTTCCCAGAGATACTTAGCACTTGTTGGCGCTTTTTGCCTTTATTCTGCGGTCCAGCTCACCCCAAACCATCTTGATTGGGTTCAGGTCCGGTGACTGTGGAAGCCAGGTCATCTTGTGCAGCACCCCATCACTCTCCTTGGTCAAATAGCCCTTACACAGCCTGGATGTGTGTTTGGATCATTGTCCTGTTGCAAAAATAAATGATGGTCCAACTAAACACAAACCAGATGGAATAGCATGTCGCTCCAAGACACTGTAGCCATGCTGGATCAATATGCCTTCAATTTTGAATAAATCCCCAACAGTGACACCAGCAAAGCAGCCCCACACCATCACACCTACTCCTCCATGCTTCACTGTGGGAACCAGGCATGTAAAGTCCATCCGTTCACTTTTTTTGCATCGCACAAAAACACAATGGTCGGAACCAAAGATCTCAAATTTGGACTCATCAGAAAGCACAGATTTCCTCCGGTCTTATGTGCATTCCTTGTGTTTTTTAGCCTTCTCCTTTTTGCCTGTCCTTAGCAGTGGTTTCCTAGCAGATATTCTGCCATTAAGGCCTGATTCACACAGTCTCCTCTTAACAGCTGTTCTAGAGATGCGTCTGCTGCTAGAACTCTGTGTGGCATTGACCTGGTCTCTAAGATGAGCTGCTGTTAACCCTTGATTTCTGAGGCTGGTGATTCAGATGAAGTTATCCTTCGCAGTAGAGGTGACTCTTAGTCTTCCTTTCCTGGGGCGGTCCGCATGTGAGCCAGTTTCTTTGTAGCGCTTGTTGATTTTTGTGACTGCACCTGGTGACACTTTTAAAGTATTCTCAATTTTTTGGACTGACTGACCTTCATGTATTAAAGTAATGACGGCCACTTGATTTTCTTTACTAAGCTGTGTTTTTCTTGCCATAATACAAATTCTAACAGTATATTGAAAACAGAGTATCAGCTGTGTATATGTGTGTCTATATATATATATATATATATTAGGGATGTAACGGTACGGTAATACCTCGGTATGAATGTTAGGTACGGTATTTATTGAATCATTTACAGGAAAAAAACAAAACTTATGAAAATACTCTAAAAAAGTGCCAAAAGTGTCAATGACATACAAATTAGCCATCTATCTGTAAGCTTTAAAACAGGAACTTCAATTTTAATAACCAAAAAATATTAAACCATGTAAAAAAATTAAAGTTTCAATTTAGTATTGTTGAAAACTCATCACATTCAACATTTAATCACTCACTCACTTAGATAGAGATGGGTTTAAAGGAAAATTATCATATAAATATAATCTGGTAAAAGCTGGTATCTCTGGGAATTTACAATGTCCCCTGCAACAGAAAAAAACCCTCTCATTTGGGACTGAGGTTTCTGGGACAAGAGCGATATGACTTGGCCCAGGTTGACAGCAGTGGGTAACGTTGTGCATTGTCTTTCCCCCACTTGAGAGGACAAACCATGAGTAAGATAGAGGTCTCATGTCTGCATCAATCTGAACAGTGTGCTGACAACACCGCTATTCAGTACGCGCGCGACAACACAGCTGATAAGAACTCGCGCGACAACACCACTATTCAGTATGCGCGCGACAACACAGCTGATAAGAACTCGCCCGACAACACCGCTATTCAGTACGCGCGCGGCGACAACACCCGCTTTAAAGTTTTCCAGCTCTTTTTAATCCCCGCTTCTAGCAGCACACTCCATTTCCGCATTACTGGATCTGTAGCGACAACAGACCGCAAGGGATGATGGTCAAGCATGGGCTGATGGGAATTGTAGTTTTCGCTACCTCCCGTTCGCTTCATTCGCCTGAGCAAATTTTCTCAGAAGACCTATAGTTTTACCGAGTCATGCGACTTCGGTAATATCGAAAAAAATTAATATTGCGGTATGACGGTATTTACAATACCGTTACATCCCTAATATATATATATATATATATATATATATATATATATATATTTATACACGTAATCAGATCCAAAAATCCCTAATTAAAAATCTGGTTTAATCCAAACCTTTGACTAATAGCTTTTGCAGGACATTTTAAAATCACAAATGTATGTATTTACATGATAATTGATTCATTACATTTTTATTTAGATTGTGATTTGACCTAAAGTCGTCAATGTTGATGGTCGATGATCTCTCTCGCTCTCTCTCTCCTTTTTTAAACCATTCAAACTTCAATTTGAGTTTTGTGTTAAAATCTTTGACCACTAGCTACACCTCAAGTATTTCACACCATAAAATATGAGCAAGTGCTCATACAAGTCATCCACACATCTAATGCATGTTTAAATGTGTGTGTCATGTCAGCTGGAGGACGCGGTAACCCTGTCAGCGGGTGTAGTTGCCTTAGGAGACTGTGCCGAGGAGTCCCTTGCTCGAGCTCATCTGGCCATAGGTCTGTGCCGTAGTCTGCAGGCCTCTGATGGTAAGCCTGCTTTTTAACCGTTATTATCCTTCTCTGAACCTAAATAAATGATCCAGACATGCATCTGTCCTCAGCTGCTCTCTGTTCCCTCATGTCTGCCATGACTCACTGTTTAACTGTGTTTGCAGCCACACTGAAAGCAGATTGCGATGAGTTCAACAGAAGAGCTCTGCAGTCACTACGCAGGTACGCTTGGTGTTTATCTCATGCATTTTAGCATGTGTGCTTGCGAACTAGGTTGAGACCCTTTGCTAATTTAAAGTTGACTACAAAGCTTTAATGAATTACTATTTTAATTAAGCAGATTTTTATTTTTATGTGGTAGCAATGTTTTATTTTATCAAAATATATTGAGATTTTTTCTCATTCGCTTCTGTCTTTGTGTCCTTTGTTGAAATTTTATTGAATTAAATGCACATGCAGTAAATAGAATAATACAATTAGAAATAATCTCATGACTGTTATTTGGTCTTTATAAAAAATTATTTGGAATTGCTGACAAATTCAGTTAATGTGATTATAAAAACACAATTTTCAACACAACATTACACAAAATTGTAAACGCAATACATTTGTTTTTGCTTTCATTTTTCATGAGCTAAACTCAAAGATCTGAAACTTTTACTATAAACACAAAAGGTCTATTTCTCTCAAATATTGTTCACACATAAATAAATCTGTGTTAAGCCCTGCTCACGTTGCGGTTTCATCCATGATTTGGTCTTCTTTTTGAGGGAGTGTGAAATAGGCATGCTGACTGCAGGAATGTCCACCAGAACTTTTACCTGTGAATTTACCATTCATTTCTGTACCATAAGGTGTTTAAGAGAATTCGCATTCAACTGGCCTCACAACTGCAGACCACGTGTAACCACACCTACCAGAATGTCTACAGCCAGCTTCTTTACCTAAACGATCATCTAAGACCAGTCACCAAAGAATTTCTGCACAAACTGTCGGAAACCATATCATAGAATCTGCAAGCTCTTCACCCTTACAGGGGTCTCGATCTGACTGCAGTTCAGTTTGTCGTTGTAACTGACTTGCGTGGCATCCGGGACTTTGGAGAGGTGTTCTCTTCATCGATAGATCACGTATAGGGAGGATCACGGCAGCATGTTTGGGATCGTACCTATTGTTTTTCCATTCATCCACAAACCACCTCATGTTGCATCATGACATTGCATGGTCCCATGTTGCAAGGATCTATACACAATTCCTGGATGGACAAAAACATCTCTGTTTTTGCATGGCCAGCATACATATCATATATCACCATTGAGCATGTTAGGGATGATCTGGATCAGTGTATAAGACAGCTTGTTCCAGTTCCTGCCAATATTAAACAACTTTAGATGGATTCTTTTGGAAAGAAGTGCTCACCAACAGATTTAGACAAACATGCAAAGAATATTTGAGAGTTTTGTGTTCACAGAAAAAAAAATCTTTGAGTTCAGCTCATAAAAAATTGAAGCAATATTGTTCATAAATTAGTAATTATTAAAAAAGTATTATATTTTTGTTGAGTGTATTTTGTTTATTTCTTTCTGAGTTTACTAGTTGTTTTTCCCCTAAATGCTGGGGCCCAGTTTTTATACCCTTTCAATTGTGAATGGATTGTAGAAACAGTCTATTTCTATTTTCTATATCTATTCACAATAAAGTCGTAACTTTATTAATTAATCTTTTTTAAATGTGCCATAGAATGCATTGATACAATGTGTTTATTGCCGAGTTCAAACTGCATGATTTTCAAAGTAGTCATGTCACAGATGTTTTCACACTGCTTGACTATCTGGGTTTGTGTTTCGTCGCTGCTTTGTTTACACTGCAAGATGGATCGGCAACAGGGACATTCACATTGCATTGACTTTACTATAGGAAGAATCGCCAACAACTTCGTCCAAACTACGTCTCACAGCCAAAAACTCATAGTATATCTTTTGTTATTAACTACATAATGAGAAAGAAGCCTTTAATGGGGTAGAACATGTACATGTTTGCTCACCTGGGTTTAAAGGGAATTAGCCATTTCTCCTCGACGTTGATAATAAACGAATTTCTTTCTGTATGAAACGTCAAACAGACACAGTTGCTCCTGAGTCCTGTCAAATCTCCACTAGTTTTTCCTCCATTTCGTGGGTCCAAATAAACCGAAAAAGAGCTTTTTTTAACTTCTCCCCCAGCCTCCCGCTGGCCTGCAGCAGGTATACACACACGCACACACAAGTAAAAGCTGCTCTATCATTGGCTGTAGGCGATCGCTGATGTTATTTTAGGTCAAAACTCAATTTACACGGCATGACAGCTCCAGATATTTAGCATGCCAAATATCTCACAGGCATCGGCGACTCATCTGCGATTCTCTCAGATCGCGTCTTTGAAAGTTCATACTGTGTGATTGTCACTCACGTGCACGAGCAGCGATTTGCCTGTGATTTCAGGCATTTGTCGGCGATTTCTCAAAACCTGTCGGCGAGCCAAAATCGGGGCTAAAATCACGCAGTCTGAACTAGGCATAAGGTGTCATAGATTGAAAATCTTGATATACCTAGACATAGAGTTTTATGCAAAAATTTGGGCACCCCTCTGTGGCTGCATAATTATGTGCTCTTCGAGAGATGATCACAGTGAAATGCATTGGGTTTCTAGAGAAAGCTAGATAATGTCATGTTTTTCAGACTGAAATCTTTATTGTAGCAGTATTGAGATGTGTGGAATTAAATTGAAACCTGTAGTCACTCAATGCTGATTGATTACAACACAAAAATTGATTTGAGTGACTCAGTGAACCTTAACAATCCTGACACCGGTGCAACCAATCATGAAAAAGGATATTTAAGACAAGCTGATTGCTTGTTGTGCTTCACCTTATTGTGAACCAGAAAGTAGCAACATAGGAACCTCAAAAGAACTTCCTAATGACCTAAATATTAGGATAATTCACCAATGTGATTCAGGAGAAGAATGCAAAAGGCTATTACAAAGGTTTAAAGTCTTCACAGTCAGAATATAGTAAGAAAATGGAAGGCCACAGCAACAGTTCTTGTGAAGGAAAGATGTGCTAAACCAAGACAAATATCTGAAAGGCAAAGGTGAAGAATGGCTGAAATGGTCACAGACAAACCACAGACCACCTCCAAAGAGCTCCAGAAACATCTTGCTGCTAATAATGTCATTGTACATCATTCCACAGTTTAGCGCACTCTTCACAAATAACAGCTCAATGGATGGTGATTCAGAAGAAGCCTTTTCTGTGTTTTGCCAACAAGAAAAGGTGTTTGAGATCATCTGGACAAGCTCATCTGGACAAGCGTATATAATTTTGGAAAAAGATACTTTGAACAACAATAGACGCTTCGCATGGCAGAAAAGTAACACAGCTTCCTAGGAGAAGAACCGGCTTCCTACTGTAAAATATGGTGGAGGGTCCAATATGTTGTGTGGATGTGGAGCAAGCACAGGAACTGGAAACCTTGTCAGAGTTAAAGGTTGCATGGATTCCACCCAGTATCAGCAGATTCTGAAGAACAATGTTTAGTGATCAGTCAAGAGGCTGAAGTTACGGCAGGGTTGGACGTTTCTGAAGGAACCACAGTTATCGATCTAGCAAGGAATTCATGCTCAGACACGATACAATGATCTAGAATGGCCATCCCAGTCCCAAGAAACGTCTACAGGTTGCTGTAGGTGGCTGTACAAAAGATTGATGTCATTATTCTGTTGGGGTATCCAAATTATTGCACCTGTCTGTTTTTGTTACGACTTTTGCATTGCATCTGTTGATTAAATAAATGCTGTGTCAGAATTGATATGTTTCTTTTTCCCTAGGGTATAAAATATATCCAAATGAAATTGCTGATTTGAAAGCTCAGCAAGCTATGGCTTGCAATTATGAAAATTATCAGGGGTGGCCAGCATTTGCATAAGACTGTATTTCTGTATACGGTAATGTCTTACTGTAGATCTTGACAACACATTAATTATAATTAATGTTGGTATCTTGACAGAAATCCCTTTAACCGTCATTTTAATGTGTAATTGAATAATTTATTTAAAGAAATGTAAGTTTTAAACTTTTTTAATTTTACTCTAACTTTAGAGCACATGCACTGGACCCTCAAGATCCTCAGATTTCCTTCTACCTTTCTCTGCAGTTTGCTCTGGTTCGACAGGTTAGTTTGATAACATCAGCCCCCGCATAATAGCATCAAAATATCCGATTTTTGTCAGAAAATACTTTTACAATAATTCTTATTTTTACTGAGTGTGTATTTTTTTTTTTTTTTTTTTTGCTTAAACAGCTCTCAAAATCACATGATTGTATCAGTAGTTCTTATCTAGATCTTATATAATCATATTCTTACTGTATGTTTAACAGTAAATTTAGTATTGTTCCCTGATGTGGCCTCTTGTGTTTGGGATAGTTGTCAGAAGCGATGGAGCCATTGCAGTTGGCTCTGAATGTTCGTGGAGATGATCTGCACTCCCTACATCTTCTGGCTCTACTTCTGAGTGCCCAGAAACACTACCAACATGCTCTTGATACGCTCAAACTTGCCCTTAACCAGCACCCGGACAACTTCAAGTAAGTGTTTATGTACGTTTTCTATTTAAATAATAGTTTATTCAAATTGAAAACTCTCTCATTGTTTACTCACCACCGAGCCATTAAAACAACATAAACATCTATAAACATGTGTACTGTATATGTTTATATGTATGTCTGTATTTAATTACTTCCCTAGTTACTTGCCTACTTATTCTCACATTTGCATCAGGTACATCTGTTCACGTGTTGACCCAAATATCTTATCCAATCAAATGGTAGCAACTAGGTTAAGATGAACTGCTGATGTTCAAACTGAGAATCATAATCTGAATGCTGAAATACTGGGATTTTCACACACAAACATCTCGAGGGTCTACAGAGAATGGGCCGAAATGGTGAAAAAAGAAAAGGAAGTAGGCTAGAGTTGAATGACCAGGCTTAGTTTAGCCAGTGGTTATCTGAGTCACACTGGTTCAAGCTGAAAAGCAAGAAAAATTCAAAATGCAAGTAAACTATCAAAGGGGTATGATGGAAGATAGATAGATAGATAGATAGATAGATAGATAGATAGATAGATAGATAGATAGATAGATAGATAGATAGATAGATAGATAGATAGATAGATAGATAGATAGATAGATAGATAGATAGATAGATAGATGGATGGATGGATGGATGGATGGATGGATGGATGGATGGATGGATGGATGGATAGAAAGATACTGTAGACGGATGGAAGGGGATAGATAGATAGATAGATAGATAGATAGATAGATAGATAGATAGATAGATAGATAGATAGATAGATAGATAGATAGATAGATAGGGATGGATGAATGAGATAGATGGATGAGATAGATAGATAGGGATGGATGGATGGATGGATGGATGGATGGATGGATGGATGAATGGATAGAAAGATACTGTAGACGGATGGAAGGGGAAGGACGGATAGATAGATAGATAGATAGATATGGATGGATGGATGGATGGATGGATAGAAAGATACTGTAGACGGATGGAAGGGGATGGATAGATAGATAGATAGATAGATAGATAGATAGATAGATAGATAGATAGATAGATAGATAGATAGATAGATAGATAGATAGATAGATAGATAGATAGATAGATAGGGATGGATGGATGAGATAGATGGATGAGATAGATAGATAGGGATGGATGGATGGATGGATGAATGGATGGATGGATGGATGAATGGATAGAAAGATACTGTAGACGGATGGAAGGGGAAGGACGGATAGATAGATAGATAGATAGATAGATAGATAGATAGATAGATAGATAGATAGATAGATAGATAGATAGATAGATAGATAGATAGGGATGGATGGATGAGATAGATAGATAGGTAGATAGGAATGAATGGATGGATGGATGGATGGATAGAAAGATACTGTAGACGGATGGAAGTGGAAGGACAGATAGATAGATAGATAGATAGATAGATAGATAGATAGATAGATAGATAGATAGATAGATAGATAGATGGATGGATGGATGGATGGATGGATGGATGGATGGATGGATGGATGGATGGATGGATGGATGGATGGATGGATGGATGGATGGATGGATGGATGGATGGATGGATGGATACTGCAGACAGAGATAGATAGACAGACGGACAGACAGATAGATAGATAGATAGATAGATAGATAGATAGATAGATAGATAGATAGATAGATAGATAGATAGATAGATAGATAGATAGATAGATAGATAGGTACTACAGACAGAGAGACAGACAGATGGATGGATGGATGGATGGAAGGATGGATGGATATGACAGACAGACAGACTGACCCATTTATTCATTCATTCATTGTTGTTTTAGTCTTCTCTTTACCAAAGTGAAGCTGGAGCAGGTTTTGTTTGGTCCGGGTGCAGCTTTACAGACCTGTGCAGAAATGCTGCAGCTGTGGCAAAGTCGCTATGATTTTACCCGACCCAGGTAATATGCTACATCTCTCTCAGGTGTGTATGTGTGTGTGTGTATTAGATGAAGTGAATTCATATTTTCTTCTCTTTTTCAGTGAAGAAGATGACTCTAATAGCATACCTCCTGAACCAGGCCCACTGAGCAGAAAACCCAGCGGCCTCCATCTCACCCTTCCAGACTTCCAGGAGACAGAGACTGGTGTGCATAATCAGTATATGTGTGCATGTATGAGCAGGCATGCGTGTGTTCCTTGTACAGTATTTGTTACATAATGTGGACACAATGTCCCCACAAGTATAGCAATACCGTTAAATTTTGACCTTGTGGGGACATTTTTGTGTCCCCATGAGGAAAACGGCTCATAAATCACATAGAATGACGTATTTTGAAAATAAAAAAAGCACATTGTTTCCTGTGAGACTAGGGTTTAGGGTAAGTGTATTAAAGCATTACTTCTATAGGAAGTCACTTTAAACTTAGGTGTGTGTGCGTGTTTGTTTGTGTGTGTATGTGAGATTGCATGCATGTTAATGTAAATGTGTATCATGTCACCAGGGTCTCAGAGTGCTCCATCTCTAGCTGTGTCTCGTCTGGAACAGGCCATGTCAGAGGTATCGGCCATCAGCTCTGCCCATAAGCATGGACCTGCCTACATTTGGACCACTCTTGAAAGGATTTGGCTCCAGGCAGGTACTGTATGCCATCAGTATACCAGCAAGATTATAATAGTTTTGGATTTTTCATTAGTTCTCAGTTTTATTGTGTTTTGACTTTTTGTTTTTTAAATTCAGTTAGTTTTAATTAGTTTTTAGGGTTAGATTTACTAATTTTTAGTAGTTTCTATATTTTGAAATTGCTTGGTTCCAGTTTAGTTTTTATTCGTTTTAGTATTCGTTTTTTTAGTTTGTTTTAAATAAGGATATTTGTGTGGTGCAAGATTCAAAATCATCAGAATAAATGTTGGATAATAAAAACTTAACCAAAGATAGGCTACATTTTTGACACAAGAACAATACCATCTACCCCTACCATCTACCTATCCTTAAATTCAAATACAACAGCCCACAAGATAGCAGCCCTAAGTAATATGTGTGCAAGGCTGCTTCTGAGGTTAAATACATAGTAGTGATGGTAAGTTCAGATCTATAACGTGAACCAGATCTTTCATGACAATCCTGCCATATTTGGACTCAACATGTCAAATATACAGTTGAAGTCAGAATTATTAGCCCCCCTGTTTGTTTTTTTCCCCAATTTCTGTTTAACGGAGAGAGGATTTTATTACACATTTCTAAACATAATAGTTTTAATAACTCGTCTGTAATAACAGTTTTTTTTATCTTTGCCATGATGACAGTAAATAATATTTGACTAGATATTTTTCTAGACACTTCTAAACAGATTAAAGTGACATTTAAAGATTTGACTAAGTTAATTAGGTTAACTAGGCAGGTTAGGGTAATTAGGCAAGTTATTGTATAACGATGGTTTGTTATGTAGACTATTTTTTAATAAGCTTAAAGGGGCTAATAACTTTTATTTATAATTGAAAAATTAAAAAACTGCTTTTATTCTAGCCGAATTTAAACAAATAAGACTTTCTCCAGAAGAAAAAAATATTGTCAGACATACTGTGAAAATTTCCTTTCTCTGTTAAACATAATTTTGACTTCAAATTTAAATAGTCAGCAATCATAATTTCAGTCAGTTAAATCATCACCATGATCTGAAAAGATTCTTACAATTACATGTTGCAACCCAACTGAAGCATGAATCACTTATATAAATTCCCTTATGATATCCTGTTATGAAATAAACTTACATTTCACCAGATCCTCTCATTTAAGCCCTCGATTTACCCGCGCTGCAGTTGTATAAGTTTAGTTCAGTCACAGCAGGCTGTAATGTACTATTTGTGTTCGGTTCACTGAATCACGCATGCGCAGTATTATCGGTTCATCGCTTCTCAAATCTGATCTCAGGCTCAGAGTTTGTGGAGATGGTGCACGACGTATCTGAATGGGGGCGTGTGCACTCGACATGTCTGAAGAGCGGTGGGGGCGTGTGCGCGCGACGTACCTGTAGAGTGGTGGGGGTGAGTTGGGTGCGATGTACCTGAAGAGCGGTGGGAGTGAGTTGGGCGCGACGCGATTCAGGACCAGTCCGGAGACGCACGATTTCCGGGAGATTATCAATCATTTGCGAGCATCCGGGAGTCTCTATGAATTTGCGGGATACTTCCGGAACTTCCGAGAGTCTTGGGATGTCTGAAAAAGCAAGTAGTTTGTGGTTAGGAGTGCTTACCAGAGACGTGAATCGTTTCGAATGATTCAGTTCGATTTGGTGAACTCGTTTAACGTTAACCGGTTCGCTTAGAAGATCAGGTTAAAAAGAATGATTCGTTCTCAATCTCGGTCACTAATACAGAAATAAAACCCATTATTGGACACAAATGTGTTAAAATAATACTTTTAAGTCTCTGTATTTAAAGTTGTCACCGTGCCGTCATGTCCACTCGTTGTTTTAGTTGGGGAGCAACATGGAGGACTGACTGGAGAAGAACTGGCTTAATCTGGTCAATGGCATCACAGACTCTGAGGTGCCACATGGGTCAGATACAGCCCGAATTAAATAGATGAACTTCTAAAAGACATGCAGCAGGTTTATGTATTAAATACATTTACAAAGACGAAAACAAAGAACGTTTTTGCTGTAATTTTAGTTAGTTTTAGTTAGTTATGTATGTACTGACACAATACAGTTTCAGTTAATTATAGATGTACACGATACAGTTTCAGTTACAGTTGAAGTCAGAATTATTAGCCCCGTTTTGATTTTTTTCTTCTTTTTTAAATATTTCCCAAATGATGTTTGACAGAGCAAGGAAATTTTCACAGTGTGTCTGATAATATTTTTACTTCTAGAAAAAGTCTTATTTGTTTTATTTTGGCTAGAATAAAAGCAGTTTTGAATTTTTTAAAAAGTATTTTTGGGACAAAATTATTAGCCCCTTTAAGCTAGTTTTTTTCCGAGAGTCTACAGAACAAACCATCATTATACAATAACTTGGCTAATTACCTTAACCTGCCTAGTTCACCTTATTAACCTAGTTAAGCCTTTAAATGTCACTTTAAGCTGTATAGAAGTGTCTTGAAAAATATCCAGTCTAATATTATTTACTGTCATCATGACAAAGATAAAATAAATAAGTAATTAGAAATTGTTTTTTAAAACTATTATGCTTAGAAATGTGCTGAAACAATCTGCCCTCCATTAAACAGAAATTGGGGAAAAAAAATAAACAGCAGCGCTAATAATTCAGGGGGGCTAATAATTCTGACTTCAACTGTAGTTCTAGTTTTTTTTTTAAACTGTTTTTATTTTTAATTCAATTAACAAAAATGTGTGTTTTTTTCATTCGTTTTCAATAACTATAATAGCCTTGTATAACAGTTACACATTTTTTGGTCACACTTTACAAAAAGGTTCATTAGTTAATGTTAATTAATGCATTTACTAAGATGAACAAACAATGAACAAAACATTTACTACTGTATTTGTTCATGTTAATAAACGTTAGTTAATGAAAATACAGTAGTTCATTGTTAGTTCATTTTAACTCACGGTGCATTAACTAATGTTAACAAGCATGACCTTGAATGCTAATAATGCATTAGTAAATGTTTAAATAGGACTAATAAATGCTGTACATGTGTTGTTCATGATTAGTTCATGTTAGTAAATACATTAACTAATGAACCTTGTTGTAAACTTACCCATTTTTTTAAATACATTGTTTCCTTTTACAGTATTTCTGTAACTTTTATCAGATTATTTAGAATTAAATCAATTCTTAAAATTTGAGTAAAGGAGTTTGTTTGCAAAGGCAGCTTTTTTCTACTGTACTCAAGTTGAGTGATTATTTCATGTTGTCTTAAATACATTTGGGAAGTACTTGACGTATTATGACATTATTTTGATGTTATTTTTGCGTTATTTATATGCAGTTCAGCATGACAAAAGTTTCCCAGGGATCTTAAACTGGGTGTTTGTGCCCTCTTGTTCCCATTCCCAGCATTCCTCTGGCATGGGTTCATTTCCTGTCTAAAATGGGACGTATTCTGGTTCCGTTCAAATGTGAATGTGAGAGCATACACAGAGCAGCCAAATGGCTTCAAAAATGGGCATGATGTCATTCTGATATAGTTCAAAATAGTTAGGGCGAGTGAACACATTCTATTTTGTATTCAGTATTTTACACTGCAAAAAATGCTTTTCTTACTTAGATTATTTAATCTTGTTTCTAGAATCAGAATCAGTTTTATTGCCAAGTGTGCTTCACACACACAAGGAATTTGTTTTGGCTACAGAAGCTTCCGGTGTACACAAAGTGACAAGTGACAACACAAAGTAAATGTGAAAAAGAAGATGATAAGCACTAAACAGAGATGCATTTAGTCAAGAAATCTGGATGTTGAATTGTATGTGTTATAAATATACAGGTTATAAGGGTCTGTGTACAAATGCGAATGGAGAAAGTATTGCATTGTAGATTGATATAAGGTGCTGTGTACAAGTGCGTATGAGAAAGTATTGTACTTATTTACTGAACAGTAGGGGAATATTTAACTGTTCATAAGGTAGAGGGCCTGAGGAAAAAAAACTTTTGCTGTGTCTGGCTCTTTTTGTGCTCAGTGCTACAATTTGTAGATATATGGACTAGAAACAAGATAAAAAATCTAAGAAAGAAAAGCATTTTTGCAGTGTAAATACTGTAAGCCAGGGGAGTCAGACTCAGTTTCTGGTGGGCAGAGTTTAGTTCTAACCTTTCAACACACCTCTCTGCAGGTTTTAAAGAACCTGAAGGACTCAAATAGTCTGATAATGTGTTTATTTGGGGTTTAAGCTAAACCATGCAGAGTTTGTCAGCTGTGCTGTTAGCTGTCATTTGTAAGAAGTCAATGTTGGGCTATGGACTATGTATCAAAATAACATCCTAGAATAAGTGATATATTGTAAATGAACATATATTGTGTTTATACTAATATTTAAATGAACATGTATATTTTAATTCCATTGTTGTGATGACACCCCAGCATGTATTAGCTGTCAAAAATCAACAGAAAGGTCTGTTTGCTCAGCAAATGCAGCTATAGATGGTTAAATGGATGCAAGAAAGACCTATCACATCTCACTATGCAAATAATTAGCCGAAAGAAGACCTGCGATAGTTCATTATGCAAATATAACCATAGTGGCACCACTGTTACATTTTCAGCATTGAACTTTTCAGCAAAAACGAATTTGAGAGTATAAAAGATGTGTGTTTGCATTCTTTTGTATATGAAAATACTAAATATACAAAACCAAAAACAATAAATACATATTTAACTCATTTTTTATTAACAGTAGTGTAGTAGTCAGGGCTTGACATTAACTTTTTAGATCCCTAGGCACTGTGGCTAGTAGTTTTCCAACATTACTTGCCACTCGCCGTTTTCACTAGCCACAATTTTGTTGTTGGGAAAATATATTTTATATGCATAAATTTGATTTTGACATGCTAAAATAAATTGATTTAGACTTTATGTTATGTGTGCTGTGTAGTAGCTTGTTCAATGAGCATTAGTGAATGGGTTGTGGTTTCATAGTGTCACATTGCAATTAGTTCTTATTTCACATGACTGTTCAGGGCTCAACATTAAGGATTTTCCATATGTTTTTCTAGCCACACCAAAAATAAATAAACAAATAACTAAATATTTCCTAGCTACAAATTTTTTTTATTTTAATTAAAAAATCAATAAAACCAAGCAAAATGTGGCTGTATACATGCATTTCTTATTCACAAAATCTTCCTTTAAGAAAATGACATTTTAAAAAGAATCATTGTCACGTATCTAAAAGTACGCACAGTCATCTGTCCGGGCTAAAGGTTCCAGATCATCAGTTAACTATACATAAATGGGAAGTTAATCTCCTATCAAAGCAATGTTAATGTAAAGGATAATAATTAAACCATAAATAAATAAATAAAAAACTGCACTTGGTTAACATTAGGCTTGCTAATAATCTGTTGAACAAGCAGTTAAAGCGAAGGTTGTAACAGCTGCTACTTACATAAAATCTCGAGCTCTTGAAAGCAGCAGGACTGTTAGTGCACAAGCATCACTTTTTCTTCAGTCTATTTCAAAGAGAACTGATTGCACAGGTTGTGTTTGCAGGCAATGTTGCTTCACGCAAGGAAACTGGAGCGCGCAATATTTATATACACTTTGCACACAGCTGATGTGATGTGTGCGAGTGTTTCAGTTTACTAAAAAGCCCTCGTCAGTGAATGAAGAAAGCCTGTGTCTCACCGTGTGCATGATCATCCTCTCATTCGGTATTCACCTGCTTTCTTTTAATAATAGCTATTTTGTCAGTCATGCTGCTTTTCGATGAGCAACAATTTAAAATTTATTTTCAACGAGCTAATGTGGCTGGTGGGAGCGGCTCTCTAACCCACCACAGCTGAAATCGATGTTAAGTTGGTAGGTTGGCGGGTGTTAATGTCAAGCCCTGGTAGTAGCCAAGGATGAAACAGCATTTTTAAATTGGGTTTATTTTAGTTTTTTTTTTGCGTTTCATAATAATAATAATAATAATAATAATAATAGCATTTTAAAGTGACATTCTTTTTTATATTTTTATTTTTCCTAAAATGTTCCATTAATTGTTATTTGTTTGATTTGAGTTGTTATTTTAGTCCAACTACTTCTTTTTTAATATTTACTTTAATGTAGTTACAGAAATGTGTGTAGTAGTGTAGTTTTAGTTTTTAGTTTACACTAGACAAGCAAAACATATTGTCTTTTTTTAAGAAATAATATGTCAAATTAAGAGAGTTTTTCCTTAAAACAAGCAAAATAATCTGCCAATAGGGTAAGCAAAATAATCATATGTTTAAAGGAAAAACAAGGTTATTTTGCTTACACCATTGGCAAATTATTTTGCTTGTTTTTAAGGAAAAACTCACTTAATTTGTGTGTATTATTTATAAAAATAAAAAAAAGACAATGTGTCACAGTCAACCAAGTTAGGTTTTAATAAATCTGTAAATCTTTAGCCTCTTCAAAATTTCAGCTTCCTTATTTTCAATATGAAATTTCCTGATTACTACCAATGATTGGTTAACCAAAATTTGTCAACCAACAGTGAACGTGACGGCAGCTTAAGGCTGAAATAGAGTCTATATTTAAGACATTCACATGATTTTCAAACAAAAAAAAAATCATTTTTGGTGAAATGTCTGCCTAAATTGTCCATCCAGTTGTTTTTTTAGCAAGCAAGCACACAGCAGCCAACAAGTGATGTGAAAATAGTTTATTTGCTGTGTTGAATGCGAAATGCTAGGGTAGAGCTGCAGATGCTTAAACATTCCTCCACACATGGCCTTATTTAGACATGACCTTGAATATCTCTCTATGAGCATGTGCTCAAGATTTTGGGTAGGAGGAGAAATATATTGCTATAGCTGTATTTGTGGCCAAATCTACATTTTTAATCACCCAGAGAGAACATAATGCTACAATTTTTGTGATTCTCCTTGTGAACCACAGTCTAAAATGTTTGGGCATGATGGTGTTCACTCTTTTACTTTGAGTGAGAGGTAATTGTGTGGTAGCAGATACATCTTTAAGAGTGCTGCTTTTTTAGATAGTTGTGTCACTTTCATGAACTTAATATGTTTCATAAAGATATATTTTTATGCACTCGTTGATATCAGTAAGACATCAATATTAACAGTAGTATTCTCTATTGATTGAAAGGAAAGTTGTAACTATAATATATGTTTTTGTAGTCACAAATTATCTCACGCTGATCTCATCATTTTCTCCTTTGTTTGTATTATGTCGACTAGGGGAGTTGTTCATTGCTGATGGGCGGATGAAGGAAGCTCAGTTCTGTGTGCAGGAAGCAGGAACACTCTTCCCCACCTCACATTCAGTGCTTTTGCTGAAAGGCTGGGTGGCCGAGCTCAAGGGCAATGACACAGAGGCCAAGAGCCTGTACGATGAGGCTCTTGCCATCAACCCAAGAGGACACCATATATTGCTGCACCTGGTGAGTGATACAAATCCGTACGCACACACTCTGCATGGCACAGACATTTCCAACATCATGTACTGACACTGATGTTGTCTTAAATATTTATTCATTCATTTTCTGTTCGGCTTAGTCCCTTTATTAATCCGGGGTCGCCACAGCGGAATGAACCGCCAACCTATCCAGCATATGTTTTACGCAGCAGATGCCGTTCCAGCTGCAACCCATCTCTGGGAAACACCCATACACACTCATTCCCTCTCATACACTACGGACAATTTAGCTTACCCAATTCACCTGTACCGTATGTCTTTGGACTTGTGGGTAAAACCGGAGAACCTGGAGGAAACCCATGCCAACATGAGGAGAACATGCAAACTCCACACAGAAACGCCAACTGACACAGCCGAGGCTCAAACCAGTGACCTTCTTGCTGTGAGGTGACAGCACTACCTACTGCACCACGGCGTCGCCCTTAAATAATCAAAGCAAAAGCTTGAAATTACATTAGTAGCGTTCAAATGGAGAAGTAGAAAGTGCCTGAAAAAGGATTAAACACCTACACACACCGAGATGGGACAGAGCAAAGGCAAAGACATTTGACTGCAGTGAAACCATTCAGTACCATTGAAAAAGAGACATAGGGGAATGGTCAGGGAACCAATACATTAAGGGCGTACTTTTCATGTTTGCCTTAAACCATGCCGAAGCAGAGTTGTTCCCCCCTAACCTCATTATATTGTTTCACAAGTTCACACTTACGAATGTTTAAGAATGAAGCGTATTTGGCGTGCTGTCGGGGGGAGAAGGCTCTGAGCTCGGGGAAGACATCCCAACTCGTGTTATTCCCCTTATCAGGGAATAGAGAGAAGTTGGAATTCGAGTGAAGTGTCTAGCCCGGCCCCAATACACTCCCCCCGGGTATTAAATGTTTAAGAGGTGAGGTGTCGGGGTGGTGCTAAAGTGCTGCCACCGCCATGCTTCACTGTATTAGCCTGGTAATGAGCAGTGGCTGGTTTTCTCCAAACGTAACGCCTGGCATTCAAAAGAGTTTAATTTTAGTCTCATCAGACCAGAGAATTTTGTTTCTTATGGTCTGAGTCCTTCAGATGCCTTTTGGCAAATCCCAGGTGGTGAGGGGCTTTCGTCTGGCCACTCTACCATACAGGCCTGATTGGTGGATTGCTGCACAGATGGTTGTCCTTCTGTAAGGTTCTCCTCTCTCCACAGAAGAACGCTGGAGCTCAGACAGAGTGACCATCGGGGTATTGATCACCTCCCTGACTAAAGCCCTTCTCCCCCGATTACTCTGCTTAAATAGCCGGCTAGCTCTAGGAAGAGTCCAGGTGGTTTCAAACATCTTCCACTTACGGATGATGGAACTTTCAGAGCAGCAGAAATTTTTCTGTAACTTTCCCCAACCTTGTGCCTTGAGACAATCCTGTCTCAGAGGTCTACAGACAATTCCTTTGTCTTCTTGCTTGGTTTGTGCTTTGACATGCACTGTCAACCCTGGGATCTTATATAGACAGGTGTATGCCTTTTCAAATCATGCCCAATTAGCTGAACTGACAACAGGTGAACTCCAATGAAGCTGCTGAAACATCTCAAGAATGTTCAGTGGGAACAGAATGTACCTGAGCTCAATTTAGAGCTTCACTGCAAAGGCTGTAAATACTTCTGTACATGTGATTTTTCAGGTTTTTTATTTTTAAGAAATTTGCAACAATTTAAAAAAAACTCTTTTTATCACATTGTCATTATGGGGTATTTTGTTTAGAATTCTGAGGAAATAAATAAATTGAATCCATTTTGGATTAAGGCCTAACAAAACAATGTAGAAAAAGTGAAATGCTATGAATACTTTCCGGATACACTGTATATTACAGATCTGGCAGATTAATCATTAAAACATAACGTTTGTACAGACAATCAGGTAGTCACTGTCTTCTGATCATTCTGAAATGATGGTTATCGTGAAGTCATGATCATCAGGTTTGACTCCAGAGCTGCTCTTAAGTAAAAGAAAAACTGAGACTAATAAACTGTATATGCACATCAAACATTTTTTCATGTTAGTTTTACAACAGGAAGTGTATCAAGAAAATAGGTGACGAGTAAATGGTTATTGAGTCTTAGCATGAGCAAATTACTTTACATGCAGTATGTACATTTTTACAACCCACAGTAATGTGTGCTAACATTAGCTCTGCCTCCACGCTCTGTTCTCATTGTGACTGGATAATGTCAGGCCCTTCATTACTCATCTTCACTGTAGTAACCAGTATGAAGCTAGGCCATTTTCTCTCTATATCTGGCCAATCAGAGCACACATCTTTGCTATTTTTGGACAAAAGACGTACAATATCAATTCCCTGTGCTGTTGAGAACTAATTCTGTGCTAGCTTGCAATGCCCTGCATAGTTCACACACCCAAGCCACAATCTTCATCACACCACTGATTTCTCTATTTAAAGAAGGTATGACTGAAACGAGGTGTAGTTTTGGAGGAATTCACCAGCTTGATCCAATGGGGAGAGGGCACCTATGAGTAGAGCAGAATTAAAAATTGAAGTCAAAATTAATAGCCCTCCTGTGATTTTTACAAATGTTTAATTATTATTATTATTAGTAGTAGTAGTATTATTAATATTATTATTATTATTATTATTATTATTATTTCCCAAGTGATGTTTAACAGAGCAAGGAAAGTTTCACAGTATTTCCTATATATATATATATATATATATATATATATATATATATATATTAGTATATATATATTAATATATATATATTAGTTTGGCTGGAATAAACAAAATTTTAAGATCAATAGTATTAGCCCTTTTTATAAATATACAGTGCTCAGCATATATGAGTACATCCCTGACAAATCTCTCATGTAAATTAATATTTTTTATAAGAAGCTTTACAGTTTTTTATTTGTGCATATACATTAGATTGGTAGGTACTGAACCCAAATCAGGAGATAATCAACCAAATAACTTATGATAATGGTCCAAATTTAGTAGACCCAAATGTATATGTTAGGTTTTATGCCTGTTATATTTATATGTAAATATATTAAATATATGCATATAAAATATTAACATATTATATGTTGTGTTTATATGTAAAACATGAAATAAAAAAGTTAAATTCAAGAGAAAAAAAGAATTTTTAATATTTTGTTTAAATTTTGTAGTTTGTAATTTTTTTTCCCAATATTTTGCATGAATTGAAATTTATTATCTTTCTATTTCTAAAGAAACAAATTATTTTCAGAAATATATCTGTTTAATAAAATTGCTTTGTTCAGATACACCAAAATATACAGTTGTAGTCAGAATTATTAGCCCCCCTGTTTATTTTTTCCCCAATTTCTTTTTAATGGAGAGAATAATATTTTATAGAAATATTTGACTAGATAATTTTCATGACACTTCTATAAAGCTTAGTAACATTTAATAGCTCACCTAAGGGGTAACACTTTATAATAACTACACACTATAAATCATTTACTAAGCATTAGCGAATAGTGAATTCATTATCCGTTAAGCATTTACTCTACATTAATATACATCATTACGAAGGTTATAACTGCAGCTACAAATGCTGTATTCTTGACTTATAAGCACCTATATAATGTGCTTAATAATTGTAAATTCATGCTTAGTTAATGGTTTATTTTTCATTACTAGATTAAGTATTGCATTATTTACAAACCAGTTGTATTTAAGAGTAGTTGAGGGTTTTTAGGATCATTCAGAATGAGTTATAAAATGATTAATAAACTATTGAAATCAACATTTATATATCTTATTATTCAGACATATATTAATGGTTAGTATGTTAATAAATGCTTTATCAATTCAACTTCATGCAGTTTTGTGACCTAATCTAAAGTGAGGACTATTGATGCTTTGTAAATCCCAAATGACAAATAAAGGCTCAGTTAAATTCTAAACAGGAAAAATGACCTAAACTACATTATTCAAATGAAACTGTACTTCAAATGAAAAATAAACCTGCAACCTTATCTAAAATCACTGTAGAATTTAAACATTGCATCTTATTATGCTGTTAAATTATTATATTGTTGTTGTTGTTTTATCCAGATTTATGTCATATTTTGACACTCCTGTTATTTGGCAAAGTTTAAACTTTACATTAATTTTACTTTTTAGAAAAGATTGCAAAGATTATTGTTCATTTGATACTGAGCCGCCTTTAAATGTCATTTATAAGGGATTTATAAAGCATCAAAAGTCCTCACTTTAGATTAGGTCACAAAACTGCAAGAAGTTGAGTTAATAAAGCATTTATTAACATATTAGTTAACTATTAGTATATGTCTGAATAATAACACATATAAATGTTGATTTCAATAGTTTATTAATCATTTACTAACTCATTCTGAATGATCCTAAAAACCCTCAACTACTCTTAAATACAAACGGTTTGTAAATAATGCGATACTTAATTTAGTAATGAAAAATAAACCATTAACTAAGTATGAAAATACAATTATTAAACACATTAAAAATGTGCTTATAAGTCAAGAATACAGCATTTGTAGCTGCAGTTATAAACTGCTTACTAACGTTTATTAATGTAGAGTTAATGCTTAACAAATAATGAATTCACTAGATGCTAATGCCTTATAAATGAGTCATAGTGTGTAGTTATTATAAAGTGTTACCCAAAAAATCTCAAAGGGCTAATAAGAATAGAACCTCTATTCAGAGATAGAACCTCTAAATACTGCGTGCCGTGTGAGGACAATATCACAGCTTGGCAGGTCTGCCTTGCCTTCGAAGAGCATGTGCTCTTATGAAAAATTAAGAAGCAGGGTCTTCTCATAGGACAAGAAAACTCAGCTATGACTAATAATGAGAAACCGACACGTCATGACCGGACAGGCACTACAGTACGTCACAGATTTTGATCCTGCCCCAAAAATGATTTTAAACCCTGAAGATGAGATTAGCTGACAAAAGCTTCAAATTATCCAGTTTTCTGCATAATTAAAGCTGACAGGTGCTAACGTTGTCTTAACTGATGCTCAACACACACAAATCCGCTAAAACTTCAAAAAGTACTTGAGGTTTATTTTAAGCCTTTAAATGAGGAGGGAGGCAGCAGGGTGTCATGTGCCAACAGCGTACCATGTGCAGTTTAGAGTTAATTTGGTCATCATAAACACTCACACTTGCAGCATATGAATCTTCATCTGTGGGATTCACATGAACGTGTGTCATCGCTCAGAGCATCTGGATTTGTGTGTCTGTGTGTTTTTTAAGGAATGTCTGCTGAATTGAGTCAAAACAAAGACTATAGAATACACAGGACTTGTCACTAGTATTGTTGTAAATGGGGAAAAGTGTAACGGTCAATGTGGCGAATGAAGCCACACCTTCTAGTACTGGAGCCAATCACAAATCGTTATAGACTGAGGATTCTCTGGGGGAGGGGGGAGGACCAGATATGAGTTTCTGCAGATTTTGTTTTGCAGATTCAAACGTTTAGAAATAAAACTAAAGGAACAGTTGTTTAATTTTATTAGTGATTCCTAATATAAAATTCCATCATAAGCTTGGCAAGCAGAATTTGATGTTTCTCCATTCAAAGAGACTGCCTGAGAGGCGTTTTAAACTTGGCCGTTGAGTGAAATGACTTGTCTTAAAGGCACTTTGGTCAAACACAGCATAAGTCTCTGATCTTGACATATTTTTCTTTGTTTTGCTTTTTTTTAAAGGATGATCACATATTTTAATATCAGTAAAATGTTGTTGATGTATTTTTCTCAAATATTCAGACATTGGCAGGCATTCATGGACATATACAAACCTCTCTGTCTTTTCTCTGTGTTTCTATGGCTCTCTCCCTTCTTTCTAGCTCTCATCTTTTGCTCTGTCAGTTGATTAGAAAATGCAAATACATTATTTATAACAGTTCAGTCCTTCTCAGGCCTTTATGGGATGCTTAGCAACCAGGCAATTGTATCATATGGTGCAGAAAAGCAGATAATGAGGACACAGAACTTGTGTTAAGACCATTTCCCACAATATGTAACATGCATTAAAATAATTCAAGGCTTTTTTGTTTATCAGTGCATGCTATCGTAAAAATTCAGTTAAATTCTAATAATTACCATTTAAATAGTTTTAAATAATATTTTAGTTTTTCCAAAAATTACATGCAGCTTCTCTCTTGTTTGCCAAATAATCAAAGATTTGATTATTGCAATATAGAGAATCTGTTTGTGTGTGTGGGAAATATTATAACTAGAGGGGAAAATAACCATCTGTAACAACACATAGGGCTCTATCGTACATCCAGCAAGACGCAAGACGTGTTTGCCATGATTGGTTGGTATTTGCGCTGGTCACGTAACCCTGATTTTCACGTTTTGCGCCACATTGGTTAAATAGCAAATCCATTTGCTCTACTTTGTGGACTCGTGGGTGTTTCTGTCAAAAAAGGCGGTGTGTTAAGGAGCATTGTTGGTGCGTTGCTATTTTGAAGAACTGAAATAGACTGCGCCTTTGATCATTTAAAAGCTGTCTAAAGTCCAGCGCAGAGCACGTTAGTTATGCGCCTATGTATCCAAATGCTTACACATTAGCTGTGTCCCAAATCGCATACTTATGCACTATTCTACGCCATTTTGTAGTATAAATAATGTAAGTAGTGCGTTCACACTGAAAACTTTAAAAATAATAAGTGCACTTTAATTACCCGGATGATGCACTCATTCAGCTGCTAAAATGAAGTGTTTAAAGATGGACACTTCACGCACTCAACGACCGCAGGTTCGCTTACGTAGCGGAAGGGGCGGAGCTATCGGATGCACATGTTGAATAACTTTATTTATTTTGGATGGTGAAAGCAAAATTCTCCTATGAGAGTGATTATAGCGCCTCCCGATGGTGAATGCGGCAATACTCACGGCAGGTATTAATTGGTAATTCGTTCCTTTATTTTACTTATTTGGCAACCGTCAAACGTCATCAGGGAAACGGTTTCAATATCCGCTTAGTAAAAAAACATTAGTGTGCCATTTGGGACGCCACTACATACATATACTATCCTGTTGAGTGTGTAAGTGCATAAGTACATAGTGCATGAGTGCATAGTGTATAGTGTGCCATTTGGGACGCAGCTAAAGCTTAATACACACTGGATATACAGCAACACACAAATATCTTTACATATGAATAAAATTAAAGATTAAAATGTCACAAAAAATATAATGTTCTACATAAATCTAAAAACCACTGCTCTCATGCCTTATTCATCTCAGGGTTTTTTTTTTTCAGTTTATTCATGACAGTTTGCTTTTGTTTGATGCAATTATTCATTCATTCATTTTATTTTCTGCTTAGTCCCTTTATTCATCAGGGTTCGCCACAGTGCAATGAACCGCCAACTTATTCAGCATATGTGTTGCACAGCAAATGCCTTTCCAGCTGCAGCCCAGTACTGGGAAACACCCATACACTCTCATTCACACACATACACTAAAGACAATTTAGCTTACCCTATTCACTTATAGTGCATGTCTTTTGAATTTTGGGGGAAACCGGAGCACCCGGAATAAACCCACGCAAACATGGGGAAAACATACAAACTTGACAGAGAAATGCCAACTGACCCAGCCGAGGTTCGAACCAGCGGCCTTCTTCCTGTGAGGCGATCCTGCTACCCACTGCGCCACAGTGACACCCAAATTTTATTATTGTTATTGGCAGTATTATTTATTATATAATAATATCTGTCGGGTTTTTGAGATGAAATAAAAATAAAAATTTCACATAGTCATTATGGGGTATTGTGTGTAGAACTTGGAAGAAATAAATAAATTTAATTCATTTTGGATATAAATAAATATTTATATATATATATATATATATATATATATATATATATATATATATAAATAAAATACAATTTTCACATAGTCATTATGGGGTATTGTGTGTAGAACTTTGAGGAAATAAATAAATTTAATTCATTTTGGATATATATATATATATATATATATATATATATATATATATATATATATATATATATATATATATATATAGTTTATATATATATATATATATATAAAACTATATATATATATAGTTTTCAGAATTGTGTTGTAGCCATCAAATATCACATCACAATTTGTCTATATTTCCAGAATACTATTTATTTGCTCACTGAAAACATTGAGAATCTTTTCTTTGTATTTTTGCTGATAAAGAAAATCAACTAATCACATATTAATAATTCATTGCATTTCACATTGTCTCAATTTTGGGGGAAATCAGCTTGTACAGTCCAATAAACCACATATAAAAGTCTTAAGGGAACCAACTGAAAATGTCTTCTCTTGACCACACTGTTTTGCTATTACATGTTTGCTCAACATTTAACCATACAAACAGTTGTGTTTTTAGAGCGACATGGAACATCAGCACACCATTACAAAACGCCTATCAAGTTTTCTTGTGTTTTTTACCCAGGACAAGTAACAAATGAAAAGTTCTGCTGGTAGACATCATATTTTAATTTTCTGTTCGCAGGGGAAGTTGTTGGTTCGCACAGGACGTGTGGGTCTCGGGGAGAAGATGCTGAGGGATGCGATACAGGTCCAGAATACTGCACACGAGGCCTGGAGTGGCTTAGGGGAGGCACTGCAAAGCATAGGCAGTCCACAAGCTCCAGACTGCTTCCTCACTGCGCTGGAGCTAGAGTCTAGCTGCCCTATACGGCCCTTCACTATCATCCCACGAGAACTATGACACTTATGTATATGAACAAATATGTACTGTATAGAAAAACCAATGACGCAGTCCAAAAGCTAAAGGCAAGATCCATTTCATACACCAAAAAATGATGCACGGTGAGTATTGTGGCAATGAATGAAACACAGAAAGTAACTTTAAAACCAAGCATCCTTTTGTTGGTTTTAACGTGAAACTGATTTGAGATCTTCATGATCATTGTTTCCCTCACATGCAGGTGTGTAAATTCCTTTTAAAATTATAGCAAAGTTTGATCTGACCAACATCAAGAATGACAACTGTACAGATAGCCATATTAGTGTCCACACTGCTTGAATGTTTTATTTTTATTATAAATGCTTATGTTGATTATAAACATGCTGCTTTAAATCTTGCATTGTTCTAAGTCAATTCTGAGTGGCTGTCTACTATTTATCTTTTTTTTTTTTAATTATAGTCGTGGTATATAAGGCTGCATGATAACGATTAATCAATTCGACCCTACACACGATCTTAATTCAGCTTTTCTACGATTCATCCAATTATTTTTTTAAGGTCAGGAGAGAAGCTTAAAGGCGGTCGCACAAGATTTTACAGCAGGGGTCAACAACCCTGTTTCTGGAGAGCTACCTTCCTGCACATTTCAGTTGCAACCCTGACCAAACACACCTGTTTGTAATTATCAAGTGCTGCTTTAGGTACTATTAATTGGTTCAGGTGTGTTTAATCACGGTCGGAACTGAATTCTGCAGGAAGGTAGCTCACCAGGAACAGGGTTGCTTTACAGCAACATGGACATTAGGGTTGGGCCGATAGACGATGCCATCGTTCATCACCGATGGCCAATAGACAACACGATGCTGATCAGGCCCGGATTAAGAACTCAGGGGCCCCTGGGCACATTATCTTGTAAGGCCCCCTACCTGGCCGCACCCCTATAGTTGAATAAAAAAATAAGAATAATATAATAATTTTTTTAATAAAATGAATCTATAATTTGTTGCCCACATATTTAAATAAATGATATATAGTACATATGCATTTATAGTCTACAAAGATTTAAATGATTTTTTAAAGCATTAAATAAAAATACTAATAAAACTATATATATATATATATATATATATATATATATATATATATATATTTTTTTTTTTTTTTTTTTTTTTTTTTTTAAGGGTATTTTAGTGTATTGCTTTTACAAACTTATAAAGCATATTATTGCCATGGCATATAACGCACAATGCTTCTCCAATCCAGTTCTATAAATCTGAGTTCTATGAATCTGAGTCTTTCATAATACAAACACTGATTTACTGTCTCTCTCCTCCTCTCCCTGTATTTTCTCTACTCTTCTCGTGACGAAGACTTGATTATAAACCTAAAAGTATCCGAAATCACAGACACTATACCTCTTCTCTCCCGTCTCTCTCCTCTTCTGGGCCTTTCTCTCTCTCTCCCTCTCTCTCTTCTTTTCTGTCTGTCTCTCACACGATGAATCCAGTCCGCGCTGCGCTGCCGTTAGCCTCCTCCACCTGGTTAATGCTAAGTTCTCATCATTTAAAGTTACCATACCGTCTTCTTCTGTACCCTCTTTCTCCTGATCACGGGTCTGTTTAAAGATGGTGTGTATGGAAAATGCCTCAATAAAGATGCCTCCTGTCCTCTTTCTCTCGCGTTTGCTAAATCCACTTGTCCACTCATTTTTGATCTATGACAGATATAACGTTACACTAAAGTCCGCTCAGTTTAGTGCGGGTTATTTCAAAACTGACGTTTCCGCACTTGACCAATTACAGCATTCTGTTTAGTTAAAGAAAGAAAGGCAATTTAAATATAATAATAATATTAATATGTGATCGCGATTTTTTTGCTCAGAGGAAATACAGTTGTCTGAGCAATATAGTTTTTGAAGAGAGGGAGGCGCGGCAGGCGCCTATAATAAGGCTAAACATTATTAAATACCCACGAGACACTTGTGACTTTATATCGCATTTGCATGATTTAAAAAAAATGTTTCTTTCCTGTTAAAAATAAATATATTTCCAATCTGATATGTAATGGGGAGGGAAAAAAAGGAGCACGAGTTCAGCTGATGGTGAATTCGAACCGATGTTATGATTAATCGCGTCAAAAGATAATGCTGTGCGCCTTACAAGGTGCGCCACTGCTGCTGAATTATCAAACAGCTCTTTACTCATCTTGTCTCTATCAATCAGGCATTGATGGGCGTTAACCCTGAATAGCTTGGTCCAACTAGATGCGCTATTTGCAATTAGCCTAAAAAGACACTCCGAAATTGTCTTTTTTTCTCCCCCCTCGCAGGGGCCCCAAGTGCGCACGGGCCCCTGGGCCTGTGCCCATAAGGCCCATTGGTTAATCCGGCCCTGATGCTGATCCTCCACCCCACCCCCATCGCAAACCCGCTCACGAAAAATACACACTCAGGCCCCGTTTACACTAATACGTCTTAGTTTTAAAATGGCATTTAAGAACGAAAATGATTTACATCCATACCTTGTATTACCTAGCATTTCTGAACAGCCCTCTGTCTGCTGAAAACATCATGTGACCACACACACAGCCACACACACTGTCATGCGCTCGTCTGAGCTCCAGAGAGCAGTGCATGTCGGACAGTTTATCAAGGATGTACCGCTGGATTGCGTCTCACTAAAGTAGTTAAACGTGATATTTAATTAATCTTGTCTCAATCTAACGACTCTTCTGTCTTTTGAATCTATCAGGTAGCGTGTCCCAGCATCAGTACACTGCTTTACTTTACTTTAGTCTTTTACTTTCACACTTGGACTTGGTAATTTTAGTGAAATCCTCAGACACTGTTGGTTGTGGACCTTTATTAACTAGACACGGGTGTCCCACATGCCTCTCTTAGCCAAGGCTGAACCTGGACACGGGCATCTTGCAAGCCACTTTTAACACACTGAGACAGGAATAATGACCATCCCACCACATTAAAGACACTGCATAGCGATAAATGTCTAGACACAATATGAACGTCAATTGTATTTATTTCTTAAGGGAGATTCAGAGTCATTTTTGCGCTCCTTCCTTGGGCCTCCTCCTCCATCAAGGCCCTCTCAAAGAGTCTGCGGTGCTCACGTGCTTGCAGAGGGCCCAGGTGAAGTGCATAGAACACAGTGTGTGTGTTTGCAACATTGTCCTGGGTTTCAGATGGCTCTCTGGTTACTCACGGGTGGCTCCTCCTGACTAGGGTGGAACCCAGGACTTGGAGAGGGTCAGGTGTCCAGATTGAGTTACAGCCCTGACAGCTGCTGCCTAGAAATGTATAGCTTTGTTTTTTGATTTAAAAAAAAAAGGTTAAACATGCAAGGATGGAGAGAAAACATCCAGGTGGAAAAGGAAAGAGCTTGTAAACCGAAAGCATTTCAAGACAAAGCAGCTGCAGCAAAATGTTGCTAAATGTCTTATTAGTAAAAGATCTTATTAGTTATATGTGCAAACGGCTTGCCATATTTAAAAGAAAATATAATGCTTTAAAATGATTTATTGTATCACTGTAAGTCTGATACTTGTGAAAATACATGTGATACGGGGTGAAGATAATAATAATAAATGAATTATTATTCAATTTATATATATATATATATATATATATATATATATATATATATACACACATATATATAGTATATATAAGGCGACATGGATGTGTAGTGGGTAGCATGATTGCCTCACAGCAAGAAGGTCGCTGGTTCAAGTCTTGGCTGGGTCAGTTGGCATTTCTGTGTGGAGTTTGCATGTTCTCCCCATATTCGTGTGGGTTTCCTCCGGGTGCTCCGGTTTCCCCCACAAGTCCAAACACATGCGGTACAGGTGAATTGGGTATGCTAAAATTAACCATAGTGTATGTGTGTGTGTAAGGATGTTTCCCAGAGATGGGTTGCGGCTGAAAGAGCATCTGCTGCGTAAAACATATGCTGGATAAGTTGGGGGTTCATTCCGCTGTGGCGACCCTGATTAATAAAGTGACTAAGCCAAAATGAAAATGAATGAATATATATATATATATATATATATATATATACAATTTAAAGTGTAAGTAAACAGTCAATAGGTTACTCCAGTGGCTATTTTACTTTTTCTAGCTAAAATAAAACCTCTCCACGCCTTCAGTTGAAATGATTTACTGTTTGTTTTTTTTTCCAATGGCTTACACACATTTTCAAAACAGTGACCTTTTTTTTTTTTTTTTTTTTTTTTAAACTGCACAGACAAAATGCAAGAATTGGATCTGTCGTAATTTAAATAAAATGTGCAAAATATTAAAGAAATCAAAAGCCACTAAGATTTTTTTAGAGAGAATCCGCTTTCACGTGTCTAAATATTTTAACTTTAAAATGTATACTTTAACACAAGAAACCAGAGTTTCTAATAAGCTTTTCAAGTACACAAAGATTGTTATTAAAGATATTAAATAATTTGTAAAGAATTAGATTTTAATTTTATAGTTTTTATTTTATTTTCCATTTAAAGTTTATATGAATTCAACATTTAACTAATTATGTTTAAAGTACTAAATTTCAGAAAGATCATTAAAATTGTATAAATCAAAGGTAATGTTACTATTAGTGGTTAGCACTGCCGCCTCACAGCAAGAAAGTTACTGATGCGAGCCCCGGCTGGGCCAGTTGGCGTTTCTGTGAGGATTGCCGTGGGTTTCCTTCAGGTGTTCCGGTTTCCCCCACAATCTAAAGACATGCAGTATAGGTGAATTGAATAAAGTAAATTGGCCGTAGTGTATGAGTATGTGAGAGTGTATGGGTGTTTCCCAGTTGCGGCTGGAAGGGCATCCGCTTTGTAAAACATGCTGGACATGTAGGCAGTTTATTCTGCTGTGCCGACCCCAGATAAATCATGGACTAAGCTGAAGGGAAAAAAAATGAGTGAATAAATGTTTGTCCATACATTTCACAAGACATGTGAAGGGTTTTTATTTTACAATGATTTGAATAAAGCTGTAAGAAATAACCGGGTCAAAAACACTTAAGTTCATCTAATTTCATTTATTGTGAATTCAAACTAGCATAAAATATACAGTAATACACCTGAAAACACACCTGTTTAAAACATACGCTGGATAAGTTGGCAGTTCATTCCACTGTGGCGACCCCTGATGACTGAGGGAACTAAGTTGAAGAAAAATGAATGATATTAAGAATTATAGGAAACCCAAAGGCAAAAGGGAGGGGAAATTTCAAGGTATGCTGCGGAAAAGGAGGTTGTGGGTCTTGTTCATTTTAATGTCAGTGCTATTCCGCTGCCCTTTGTGCCAGGTGAGCTGATATGTACCTGGTCCTGGAGTTCCCTTTTAAAAAAACAAAAAGGTTTCAGTTAAATGTTACTCGACACATGTAGTTCTGTAA